AAACTTAAATGATATGATTAAATCCATTGATGACAAAATTAAACCAGTTGAACGCGAACAACAAAGCAACGAAGAGAAGGAGAAAATCGAAAAGATATTTCAAGCAAAATCTATAGGAAGACCAACGGGTGATTATCCTACAAAGCAAAAGAAATATTGTGATATGTTGAATACAGGAAAAATCAAGCAACCAAAGCAACAAACATTAGACTATTATAAAATTTCAAAAAATGATGATGGAGTATATGTATTAGAATAATTAATATCTAAATAATTCTAATAAATGAATTTATTAGAATTATTTTCAGGCAGTGGTTCTGTTGGTAAAGTTGCTCGTGATTTAGGTTTTAATGTGATATCATTAGACTTGAAAAACGCTGATATAAATATCGATATTTTGAAATGGGATTATAAACAGTTTGACAGAAACCATTTTGATTTTATTTGGAGTAGTCCTCCGTGCACTGAATATAGTGTAGCAAAAACTAGGGGAATTAGGAATATCGAATATGCAAATAGTATTGTCTTAAAAACTATTGAGATTATCAAATATTTTAATCCTAAATATTTTGTAATCGAAAATCCACAAACTGGATTATTAAAACATCAAGAGTTCATGGATGAGTTTGATTTTAAAGATGTAGATTATTGTAAATATGGAATGCCTTACAGAAAGAGAACTAGGCTTTGGAATAACATTACAACTTGGAAACCTAGAGAATTATGTAAAAAGGATTGTGGCAACATCAGAAATAATAAACATATTGAAACTGCACAACGGCTACCATCAGGCACTAAGGAAAAATGGGGTGACAATCCAACAATACATAAGCAGGAAGATTTATATAAAATACCTAGCGAATTAATTTGTGAAATCTTAGTGAGTTTGACGGATTAAGGATTTAGGTTTGGGGTTGGGCTTGCAACTTGAGCACATGCAATTGCAATGAACCAAACCACCACCTATTTTGATAAAATCGGGGAATGATTTTGATAAAATCGGGGAATGATTTTGATAAAATCGGGGAATGATTTTGATAAAATCGGGGAATGATTTTGATAAAATCGGGGCATTATTTTGATAAAATCGGGGCATGATTTTGACTAAAACCATACTATAATAATAACATTTATACCCTTATATGTTATAATTATAATGTAAGTATAGCGTTTTATATATTGAAGATAAAATCCTACAAGGGACACCACGCCCAAAAAAAATATATGATGAAACTGATGAAACGAAGGAGGGAGTGATGTTGTTGCTGTTCTATTTTTTGTCCGGGAAATGGACAAATCGTTTTTAGACAGTTCGAATATTTTTTTGATGACAAATATTTTTTGCAATATATTTTGCAAAATTTATTTTTTTGAAATGGATGAGGTGAGGAGATTCAGGAAATTACATTTTGGAGGGTAGTTGGTGAAATGAATGAGGCGAGGAGGAAGGAGAAAAGGATGGCGAAAATTTTGGAAAAATGATGATAAAAAAACGGATGAGATGGACAGAAAGGAATGTAGAAAAATGATGAAAACGAATAAGGGTAGAAGATGGAAGATGAAAAAACATGTAGGGGGGGGGGTGTATGTATGAAAGCAATTTATTGCTGGGCGTGGCCCTCCACTACTCTATTGTCCCGTTCAAAAGGGGGACGTCAAGATCCATGTCGGGCAAGGTAGGGAAGTTTCTGAGCCCTGAGTGGCCACAGCCAGCGCAGAAGCGCACGGGCAGCACTGACCGTGGGGGTTGTCTGATGTGCGGCTAGTTCATTCCCGGGGCGCCCCATGTTAGGACAAAGCCTTCGCTTGTTTGGGGGGGAAAGCCCGCTGTTAGATTGATTACCCCGGGCTTGTACAGATGGAAGTGTGGCTATCAGGTGGTTTCTCAAGAAGCTTGTTCTCCAAAGCGGGTTTGTGTGTACAACCTTTGCTGGTCACATACGGTGATGGGAAGAGGCCCTGACAACCTGATTTGCTCTCGAGGTTTGCCACCAAGACGCAGCTGTGCTCACGCTCTAGCAGGGCCCTTTTATCCATAGATCAAAACAGTCGTACTTTACCTTGGCCGGTTTGCGCGCAAGGTTCATGTCCACCGGAGCCCTTTAGTTTGATCGATTGGCGTCCCCTTGTCTAGTTTTTTGAACCTGTGTTTTCATGCTAGCATCACACACACACACTATCCCCGGGAGGGGGGGTTGGGACCCCATTTTTGATACACGGGCCTAGCTGGCTGACTGGCCAGGATCTTGCTGCGGATGGCACATCAAGAACCAAGGACTGATCAAGCGTTGTCCAATGGCGGTTGGCGGTTGCCCCCTTTTAGGTGGCATCTCCCATTACTACTCCAGTATTCATCAAGTTTCATTCATTCGGGGATGGTTAAAGTTAGGCCCTCTCTGAACCCCTTTCAAAGGTGGCACAAGATGCCCCTGGCTGATTTCGAGGGCGTGTTCTGACAGGGCCACAGGAAGGTGCCCAAACAAGCAACAAACACAGACAATCGCGCAAACCAACCACACAAATAAGCTACCGAGTGTCTACTTTCCGTCTCACATGTTGGCTACCGTAAAGGACACCAATCGGAGTGGTTGCGCTTCCCGGCCAGGCCTTTGCGCGGACGCTTTGCAACACAGCTGCCTGGTGCCCTCGTGAGTGCGCGTGGCATTTCGTTTCACAGATACCTGGAAGGGGCGATGTTGTTTCTTTTTGTTTAGCTTTTAGACTGCCCTTAAATGTGTCAACGGTGTTGAGCAACGTAAGTTTGTCTTGGTGTGTTCGCGCGGAATTTGGCGTTTTAGCGGGGTCTGCCTTTCATTTGTGAACGAGCACGGCGCCAGCGAGGCGCCAGCCAATGGCGGAGGAGATGCAAGTGCGAAGAAAACACGACAACTGTTTCCCTGGAGTTTCCCACCAGCAAACGTGGAAGTCCACAGTTGGCTCCTCTCCAAGGAAAGTAGCTGTTGCATAAAGGGCGTGCACGTGTTTTTCTCCGAACGGCCTCGGCCATTTCTCGGGCTGCCCAATGTTGGATGCTGGGAAGCTTCAGGCGACAGTGCTTCGCCCCAACAGCTGAGAGCAGAGCATGCCTGTGCCTGGAGCTTTTTTGGGACTGACCAAAGGATACCTCTCACATTTGAGGAAAGGTCAAAGCGTGTCAGCCCTTGCCCAGAGCAACACTTAAGATCATTTGAAACTGGATGCTCATTCCGCCTTCAGTACGGAAGAAAACCGGAGACACGGAGGATTGTTTCCCATCGGGGGCCGATTCCCTTGAGTTGCCGGTTTACGTGGATTTTTGTTGGGCAATCAGAGCTGCTCTCTGCCTTTTGTTTCTGATTTCCCTTCAGAATCAACCAAGGAGGGGGTGCCCTCTTTTCCCCTTGTCACTGAGTCTAGTGTCAAACGAAACCACTGCGGATGCAAGTTTCCTTGCCGTCACCTCCGGGCCCAACTGCCCACTTGCTGCCTTGCACCCTGGCAGGCAGTGCTTGCGCAGTACGAGACGGAGGCGGTGCTCCCAGTTGCGTTTGGTTCCGAAAATGCAGATCCAGGGCTCAAACGAGCCCCGGCCCCTAAACTGCCTTTACTACTGGTTCTCAGCAACCAGATTTAGAGCTCAAACGGGCTCCAGGAAACAGTCCGTTTCTTCTCAACCAGTTTCTGGCGAGGATGGATGGTCCCCGCCGGCAGGACCAGCGTGGGCAGAAAGCCCCCCCCCCTTTCTTTCAAGCCCATCGTTGTGAGGAAGGTCAGGGCAAGCAAAAAAGTGGATCGCTAGAAAGCATGATGGAATCCAAGCTGTCCGGCTCACAGGAATTGTGGCATCCACATCTGCAACTTCTGATTGACTCCTGGCTCGGCTTGGATCCCTCAATTCATACCGTTTTTGTTTGTTCACAAATCCAGCAAAGTGCCACTGGGCAAGTTCATGGTCTTCAGTCCAGCCCGGCTAAACTTACTGACCACTTGAAATGGACTCCGGGGGTCTTGGTCTTCGTGTTGTGCTTCTGTTTGTTGTTCAAGAATCTGGGGCTTTCAGCGGCTTTGAGTGTTTCCCCGTGTTTTGGTTCGGTTCATGTTCTGAACATCTACGTGTCTCTACCACCATTGGGTTGGATCTTTAGACTTTAACTTTTTGGATTCCCTTCATATGTCCTTTTATCCAGCAAAAGGTTAGCTATGTTTCCGCTCTTGGCGATTGAGAGAGCGAAAGTTGTCAACTTTTGGCTGGGACATCTACGGCACCCAAGTTGTTTAGTTGTTCCGTTTCCCATGTTTTGGTGTCCCTGGCCAAGCTGCAGCTCGCGCTGAGGTGGAAGCCATTGGCATCCGCTGAGCGGGAGGGAGAAAGAAAAGTGGGGGGCAAGAGACGGCGGGGGAACCCACGCAAACGTGTCCCAAACCAAGCAGAAAAAGGCAAAGCAACCAGAAAAAGTCAGCCTGAAAAAGAAGCACCGCCAATATAAGAATCGAAGAGCCGTCACTTCGCACATCCCCATCTTTGCAATGGGGGGCTGCTCGCCCTTTTATCATGGGACTTCCCCTTGTGGGTGCAAGGGAAATACTGCATAGACTGGGGCTCCACACTTTCGTCCCAGGCGAGACCGAGACCTGTTTGCAAGGGAAAACAATTAAACGTTTTGGGAACCCAGGAACCTTATGATGAAAACAACATCCAAATTCCTAGAAGTCCTCTTTTGTAGTTGAGACCTTGTCTAAAAGCAAAAAGGTGACACAGGCACGTCGAACACGCATGGCCAGCGATCCCAGCATGGGAGATCATGAGGAAGGCCTGTACTTGGAGATGCTTTAATTCAGGTTGGTGATTTACACTGACTTCAGCTGACATATGCACATGTGCCGAAGATCAATCAGCATAATGCTCAGGTACCCCCAAGGCACGGCCTTTTGCAAGCCTCGTTTTTCAGAGCTTTACAAGGTACCCATCCAGGTTGGACTCAGGCGCTGGCACCTTTGCCTAATTCCTTTCGATCAACCGCAGCCTTAATTTGGGCTCAGAAGGATCTCGGCATCCGCAGCCAGAACAGGCCCGGAGCCCATTGCCTTGATTTTGGGGCCAGGTTCTGTGATACCAAGGCCCTGTGGTCATATTCCTGCGGGCTGAAGCCTCAACCCGCAGTTTTGAAGACTCTCATGCCCAGGCTTCATCTTAGCGCGGTGTTGATGCCCACTTCAAGGCTTAGCTTTTGGTGATCAATTACATGGCTGGGGTGGCGTTGTCTCATGCGTGAACCTTAGAAAGGCCCTTTGGTTTCCCTTCAATGCAATCCCAAAACGGTCACCCTCCAAAAACAAAGCACTCCTGGGTTGTATTTGGGTGACACTCCGAACAGGGATCGATGTGAACCCTTGTCTGAAAAAGGGGAAGTTGTCATATTTGGAGCCTGTTGCCATTACCATACTTTTCAGTGTCACTGTGGATGGACAAGATGCATCAGTTAGCAGGTGGTTGGTGGGTCAAATAGTTTAATGGATCGATCATGTTTGCTAGGTTTGACCCTTTGCTTTGGCCCTCGGCTGGCCGATGTGTGGTGAGGGGAAGTAGGGCTTGAATGGCAACAAAGGGTTCGAACGTGTGCAAGTGGTCATGTGTGGTTGCACTGGGCACGTGGTTTGGAGGGTACCTTTTCAAAGGTCGGCTAAAAGGGATACACATATAATGGTCCCCTTTTCTGGCGTCTCCTCCGAAACAAATATATATATATATACATACATAGGTGTGCGTGTGTTTGCCAAGTATCCAACTCAGAATAGACTGGTCAACCTCAAGAGCTCCCGCTGGGGGGCAAGCTGCTGAGAGCGCGCGCGCGGCGCCCGACGTGCGCAGGCGTGCCTTCAGAGATGCTCGGGAGCCCATGTCAGCGTGGGGAAACGAGCGAAGAAACCATGCGGTGGGCGCTTACTTCAGGTTTTGGGATACTTGTAGACTTTGCAGATGGGGTCGACCACACTGGTCCCAAAAGGAAGGTTAATATGGACTTGTCAGAGAATCTGCGACTCTATGTTCTTTCCAGACGGGCCCTTTTAGTGGGCGTTCCCAGGGGAAGGCCGGCCAACACATGAGCGCAGTAGATCGAAGAAATAGAGGACAAAAGGAATGTTTGTTTGTTGGTCGATGGCCCCACAACTGGATGAGACCTCCAAAATCATTGGATGTGCTACATGGATCCGATCATGATTCAGAGCCACGGTAAGGGGTGCCATTGCAACCAGTGACTTTTCGTGAACACTAGTGAATAATAGCGAGTATTTAGGTGCCATGGGCCATTAAGAACCATTGGCCTGTCATGGCTTCCCTGGCTTTGAATCAATCGACTAGAGGAAGCCCACCCAAGAGGTGCTAAGGCTTACATCCTGCATTTGTTCCTGCCTTTGTCTATTTCAAAGAGGCATTTCCTAGACCTAGGCCATTTCTGTTGCAAAGGGTGTGTTAATTCTAGACCTATTGCTGAAGAAGCAAAAGGTGCCCCAGCAAGCGGCCAGCTCAGCTTGGTTTGCAAGTAGCTAAGGAGATTCCTGGTTTGAAGCTGCTCCTTGAGCCGAGGGGAAGTGAATTTGGGGCAGAGGTTGCCCTTTCAAGGGGGTCGGATTCCAGTTGGAGACTTCCCCAATGTCCAGTGTTTGGAAAGATCCTTCGAGTGGAACACAAGAAGTTTGTATGGTTTCTTGTGCCAACCCACTTTGGACGTGAAGCCATGTAAGCATCTAAGAGGTGATTCCTGCCTAGAAACCATGAAGCCATTTTCTGAACCGCCTAGCTCCCTCGTGTACGTGGCCTTTCTCGAGCTGTCAGTGGGTGGGAACCCACTTCAACACTCCGCTGAAAGCAGACCTGAAATTGATTAATTGGCCCAACCTGGAACATGTTGGAAGCGTTTGAACCAGGTAGGTGGTAGGTAGCTTACTTTGTAGATTCAGTATTCATCGGGTTTTATCCGCCCCAACTGGTGTACATTCATAGTGGGGGTGGCCTTATGGAGGGTTCCTGAACCACATTTAAGCCACCTTCGTGTTTCAGCAGCCCGCTGGGTCAACTTTTTCCAGGAGTACCTTCCTCTTCAGAGATTCCTTTTCTTCAGCTGGCTCCTGCCAAGAAATATCCCCAAAGAGCTCCTGCAACCCGAACCTGCTAGGAAGCTGGTAGGCGGTCCGGCCTTCCTTCGCCGTGCTAAGGAACAGCACAGAAGACCCTCGCATTTGTCACGTTGGCAGCGTGCTGAGTCACTCCTTCTGGGTTGTGCTTTGGGCTGGTTTGGGTCCCTCAAAGCGATTGCATGTTGGAGGGGGTCTGACAATTGCTTTGGGGGGGCTTCCCTTTACACCAGGGTTCTAATAAATGCGTTCCAATGCACCTTGGGACAAGCATGTGTGTGTGCGTGTGACATCCTAGCACCTACTTGTTGGAACCCACTTAGGGTCAGGGTTCCTGGTAGCACGACCAGCAGGATCCTGACAAACTCTGCCACCTTCAAACTTGGCCCGCTAGAGTGACAGACTCAGATTACCCTCAACACGGTTGGATGAAGCATCCCAGGGTGCAATCGGGTTGTATTTGTTGTGTGGGTAGTCCATGCGTGCGGCTTGCCGCTTGATCTGCCCAGCCTCTTTTGTTTCAGAAACGGACCGTGTTCCTTTGCGGTTCTCCGGGAAATTCGATCGACCATTGGGCATATGTGGGATGGGTTCCACTAGGAATGTGTTTGAGGCTCCCCTCAAGTGGTGGTTTGGGGAGTTGAACCTAGAGGCAAATGGGAACCGCTCCCCCCCCCAACCTCCAAACCTCCACTTGCGGGAAGCTGATTCGAGGGGGGCTAGAAAGGGTACTGAAAGTAGACCTTCAAAGGCCCTGTTTAGGGCCATCTGCTGCGCCCAATTTCCAGGCATGAAGCATCAGGGTCTCAAGCAGGGTCGGCAGCCGTTTAGATAGGGACAATTTTGTAACCACCGTCTTCAGGCCAGGGTACTTGTTTGTTTGTTCTTTTCGGGTTTATACTTGGAAACTCGCCCCTAAGCGGGGTTCCATGTTCTGATTTTCTTCCCGTCCCCCAAATCGACTTAAATCCAGGGTGTGTCTTTTCGGGGTGGAATCCCTGAAGCCTTTGGGGGGACCAGAACACGGAACCCTGCCTCGTTGCTCACGGATCGTTGCTCTAGCGAGGTGGGAGCGGTTTGTGGCTTCCTGTCGGCGGCGATTGGGAGGCAGCCAGGGGCCTCAGAGCCGGGCCCAAGCCTCCCGCTCAGCCCAATCATGGGCTGCTTTAAAACGAACGCCGCATGGACATTTCACCGGGTTTTGGAGGGAAACCCTGCTTGCTAAACGGCGTCTTTTCGAGCAAAACTGGTTTGCAGGAAGCCAGCCAGATGTCGCCTCTGGGCGTTGAGCAACCCATCACTGGTCCTTTTCCCAGCGAACCAAAAAGTGGATAGATATATTTTCTGGTTTTTCCAAGTCCCCTATTGAACACCCCTGTTCTTTGGTGTGAGCTTAGCCCTTTAGCAGACCTTTTGAAAGCAAGCGCTTTTTCCATTAAGCCTACAACATGTTGTCCCTTTTGCTCAGCGTGACCACGTATGTCTTGTTTTCGGTCGGTTTAGTACTTGCCTTTTGGACAGCGCTGATTGAGCTTCCCTGTGGTGTGATCCTTTTGGGGGACTTCTAAATCACCGTGTCCCCTTTGGGTAGATGCTAAGCTTCCTTTGTTGCTTGATGCTATTTCAGCGTTTCTTGGCGAGCTGATGGTTTCGCAAAACCTTACTCGGTGCCATTCGGTAGAGTTGGAGTGTCATTTCGTTGCATTGGGCCCTCGCCAAAGCGATAGCGCAGAAAGAGCTCGGAGCCAGTGGCTGTTGAACGTGGGATTTGGAGGTGTCCATCGAGCGAAACATGCCCTTCGAATCTTTTTGAAGAGGGACCAACAGCGGCTTAAAGAGCTGCCCGAAACAAACCCTAAACCGACCCTAAACCAACCCTAAACCACCCTGAAGCAACCTCTGAAGCAACCCTAAACCAGCCCTAAGCCAAGCAACCCCAAGCCCACCCGAAACGCCCGAAACCAACCCTAAACGAACCTTAGACCAACACGAGCAACTCTAAACCAACCCAAAACGAACCTTAGACCAACCCGAAAGCAATCCTAAACCACCCCTGAACCAACTCAAACCACTCTAAACCCACCCTAAACCAATCCTAAAGCCACCCTACGCCAAAGCCATCTCTCAAAGACCCTGAGCCAACCCTGCTTGCGTGACAGGTGCGCTTGCGACGCACCATCGCAAGCACCAAACACGCTTCGCTTGTAGAATAATGCAGCTCTCAGTGAGCAAAGTTTTGTGAATTGCGAAAACAGTGTTGTTTGATTGTTGTTTTGGTTGTGAACAAGTTGTTTTTGATACCCCACCCTTCCAGCACTCCGATGATCCGGTGGCAATTCATGGCCTGGGGTGAGCCATGCCGCAGGCCTTGCGGCCCACAGCAGGGGTGATTCGTCTTTGTTTCCTGTTTGGGTCAACTCTCGAAAACATACCCCAAAGAAAAGAGCCACCGACCTTCCCCGCTGCCAGTGGTTTTTGTCACTGGCAGCGGGGAAACTTGCTTGCCACGTGGCCTTCAATTGGCATTTGGCTGTGGAACATCAAAGCGACCTCCTTTCACCCCTCGAAGGGCTGGTGCCGTTTTGGTTTCCCGCCATCACCGCTTCAAAAGGTGTCTGTCTATTGATATATATATATATATATTTAACCTGTATTACCAGCATCGATTCTCTTGTGCAAGTTATCCGTGCAATTGATCTAGTTCAATCTATTTGTACAATGTCTCTTGTGTGTTTTCTCTGCTGCAGCTTGCGCAAGTTCCCTTCTGAATTTCTCTGTGCAAGTTCTCTTGCGCTTCCTTTGTGCAACAGGATTGGGTTTGCCGAATTGCAGGCGGCTAGCGCTGGCAAGTGGTCTAGGCATGTTGGGGCCACAGAGTTCGTTGGAGAATGCTGAGAGCTTGAGGTGCCATTAAAAGGCCGTAGGTGAAGAAGACGGTCTGGCGACTTGCGTTGACTTGCTGCAAGCTGCTGGAAGCGGCAACACAGGGGAGGGTACTTGAGCTGTTGGAGACCCCTCATGATCCTGATGCTGCTGACAAGAGCAGCCATTCCACACCTTTATAATGCTTGTGCAAAAGGCCATCTGGAAGTTGCGCTCTGCTGGATGCCGGTGCTGACAAATAGAAGGCGACTAAGCAGGGCGCCACACCATTGCAAATTGCGGCATTCCGCAGCCATCAGGCAGTTGTGCAGTGCTTGCTTGATGCTGGTGCTGACAAAGAGAAGGCAGACAACTCAGGCAGGTCACCATTGCATGCTGCTGCAGGCCAAGGCCGTCAGGCAGTTGTGCTTTGCTTGCTGGATGCCGGCGCTGACAACGAAAAGGCAACCAGCACTGGCTTGTCGCCATTGCATCTTGTTGCATTGAGCGGCCATGAGGCAGTTGCACAGAGCTTGCTGGATGCCAGTGCTGAAGCAGAGAACGCAGCCGACGGCGGTTTTATACCATTGCATCTTGCTGCAGATCCGGCCGCAAACGTGCTTCCTGTGTCCAAACGTCCCCGTCCTGGTGAATGTGCCAGCTTTCTTCGAAAATGACACACTCAAGCAAACAGCAACAAACATCAGGTTGGAACAGAAAGCCCATCACGATTGTCTGGATTTGTTTGTCCCAGCTACGGGTGGATGCCAGGCGTCCTCTTCAAAACCAAGTCCCTTCCAAGTGCGGTTGCGGCCTTTTTATTTCAATCATGATCATGATCACTCATAAGTCGACCATTGGCCACTTCAATTGTTGGGGCCCCATCTCCCAGCTCCCCGTGGATTTCCCACAAATGGTCCCTGGTTTTGGGTTTCCCTCGAGCCGAGGGAAGCTGCTGAAAACTGTCCACTCGAATTCGCGCTCAGGGTTGGCCGACGCCGGTGAAGGCGGGGGATCGGATGCCCCGGGCCTGTCCTCAAAGGTGTCGCTGGGTTTTCGATGAAAAGGGCAGCCAAAGCGACAGGGAAGCAACAGCAACCAACCAAAGCAACAGCAACCAACCAAAGCAACGGCAACCAACCAAAGCAACAGTGACCATCCAACTTGGGATTTTCAACATGTTTGTGCTCATGCCTTTGGCCTACAATATGATCTCACATATATCACTGGTTGATAAAGAGAACCGGGGTGTCTTATTTTGGCGCGGATCTGGATCACGTTTGGCGCTTAAGGAAATTGCACCGGTGTTGACGCATGAGTTTGACTCATGGTGAATTTGGTTCCCACATGTTCCCACTTAAAAACCAACCTGACCAGGGTACCTTTTAGATGACGCACCCACATAGCAACCTTCTGGAACAAGTTCAGTGAATAACATAGCTGGTTGCTTTTCAGAACGACCCCTTGTTTCGTTGAAGTGTCAAACGAAGCGCGTGTCATGTCGTGCGGTGGCTTTTTTTCTTTTTGGGGGGAGTGAGGGGGGAGACGGGGAGGCGGAAAGGAGATGAGAGGACCCTTGGGGTTCTTTTCCAGAGATGGGGAGTGTTGGGGGTGCCTGTCAAGGGAGCGGACCCCCTTGCCGAGAACAGCTTTCTTCGTTTGGATATCAAGGGGGGCCCGGAGGCTTGCCAGTCGGAAGAACGAAACGCATGGGCCTTGGGTTCTAAGTGGCCAAGAAGCATCCGGCAAAGCTTATGTTTCGGACCTCGCTAAGAAACTGTTTCTAACAGCACGGGGTCCTTCGAGATGGCTCTCAATCCCGGGCAGGCCGATGCACTTGGGGCATCGTGGGACATGTTGATGCCTTTGCGGTCATTGGTTACTCAGATGCATGCCATTTGGGTAGGGTAGGCTAATTATGGAGCAGAGTCGGAACATGTAACTTGCAGTGTACCGCAGAGTTTGTCCAAGTCAAATCTTGGAGTGACTCCAAAAAGCAACAAATCGCCAAGGCCTGGTTGGGCGGTCGGAAGCTTGAAAGACCGGCAGCAGAGCTGACCGCATGCTAAGCAACAGGCAACCTGGGAGTGTTGTCTTTTTTGAGGGTACCCTTTTTCTGGCGGGTTTAAGGGGGAACCATAACAACAACCACTGCTTTGTGAGCAATTACTCTGGGGTGAGGCGAGAGACCGAGTGAGCAATGCCTACTCCCGTGGCTGCCTGCAGGGAAAACCTTGGGAATTGGCTGCTTAGCATCCGGTTTGACATATCAATTCGGACCCAGGTATCAAGCAACGGGGTCCTTCTAGAAACAATGGGGATCTTCACAAACGGCATCTTCTCATTTGCAACCACAGGATCTCGTTACTTAGGATCTCGTTACTTAGTGGCCAACCATGCCCACGTTCAACACCAGTGGCTCCCCCCCAAAGAACGATTGGCCCGCTGAATGCTTTGGCTAAAGCGAACCAAGGGTTGGGTGGTGTCTTGCAATGTGCCTAAAGCTGGCCTCGAAGTTGCTTTGCTTGGGGGCTGTGGTTAGGTGGGGGGAATGGGTGACAAGATTGAGGGCACACAGCAAGGAGTCCCGTTGCCCCCATTCCAATGTTGTTGGTTCGCAAGCGTTGGGGGGGATGCTTGGTGACAAGGAAGTTTCACGGTTCCGCGTGCTGTGGATCCCAGCAGAAAGCCCTGGCTGGCAACGCAACAGGCGGCCCAAAGAGCACTTGTGCACTGTTGTTGATTGCCCTTGAAATTGCCGGACCAGGAAAGGAAGCGTTAGCAGGTAACAGGTGCAACATGCTCCTCCAACTCCACCCTTTTACACTTTTCAGGCATCGTTGGGAAGATCGCCTTAAAACCTGCCAACGCCACACCAAAGCCAACATTTGCCAGCTGGGCTTGGATACGGTGAATGCTACGCCAACAGCTCGGCCAAAACGCCGCCCGTTCAGATTTGCCTATACCTCCTCGGCCTGCTCTACTGCTTCTTGGGAGTGGCAATTATCGCAGATGTCTGGACCTCGGATGGTCAGAACTTGGAAGGTAGAAGAAGGAATCATTTGGGAAAGCAACACACCAGCTGGCCAGCTGAGCTGGGGGTTGAATCCTGGTTCAATGTTGGCAACATCTCTCCTACTGACGTGCTGATAGAACAGATGATTATAACAATCCTAGGGTGTAGGGCCAAGGTGACAGCTTGTCATGACTCTGATTTGGGCCCATGCGGAATGTTCGGTATGCCATGAAGTCTACTACCGGGGTGACTTTGAAAGTGGCAAGCCATTGGGGCCAATTGGATCCGCCTTGCGTTTTGGTGGCCATGGGGCTGGTTGATTGGCGAAAAAAGTCGCCTGCTTGGGGGCGTATGCAAGTTGGCATTTTCAGAAATGCTGGTGGTTCGTTTCCAGGCTTTGCCTTCTTGAAATGTCTAGAGGAACCCTTTTGGAGTACCCTGTTTGGGGTCGGGGGCTGGGTTGGCCACATGTGGACCTGGAGGGGATCTGAGGGATCACAATGAAGAGTGACCCAATACAGGATGCGATTTGATGTCAGCCATGGTAATCCACAACCTGCGGAAGTGCGGAAGTGCCAGCGTTCCCTGTTCAATGGTCGGCCTGCAAGTTCTTCATATAGGAGGGCCATTAAGGCGTTGGCAAGTATCACCTCAGGGAGTTTCCGTGACAAGCATGTACCAAGTCTTTGTATCTCAAACCGCATGGTCCTCTCCGACTCTTTTTGTTGTCAAATCTTCAAATCGGGGTGCCTTTGTGAGGGTGCTCATGGCACTCTGTTTTGACGAAAGGGCCCACTGGAGGTTCCTCCCTTGAGTCAAGCGCCGTTTGAGGTCTTCATGTCTGCCATCGAGCGGATTACATCCGTGAAGAAGCAGATCACCAACAAGGAAGGCAAGAAGACCACCGTAAAGGCGCGGTGCATGGCTCGGTTGTTTGATCCTGGCGGAATGCGCAGCGTCCGGAAGCCATGGCTTACACCTTGGGGCCTTTTTGCGGGCCTCTGCAGAGCTAATTGAGCGATAGGCTTCTATGTTTCAATGTGGAAATCGCAAAGGGCTAGACTTGTGAGACGCTCGATTGGCCGTCCAGGACAGCATTCTCGCATTTTCTAACTTGGGGGCAACTTTTGGAACCCAACCCCCTTTTCAGGTCGCGTTTAGCGTGCCCTTTGAGTTTGATATATTTCCTAAAGCATGCCCATGAATAGGCGACCCTTTTTTGGATGGCTTTCAAAGGAAACAGGAAACCAAGGCGCACCTTAAAATACACCCAAGGAGGTGCCAACCTGGTAGATAGAAATTTCAATTCCCCATAGAAGGAGACGGAAAGATGATGGCTAATTTTCTCAGGCCTCTTACTTGCACCTGCAAGTTGGTATGGAACCCAAACAGAGGTCCATTTTGACAAAAGGAGATGCCTCTGCAAATGGCTGTGTGTTTCTGAGGGTGCCCTTTTTGCCTTTGCTAAAGGAAGCCGTTGACGCACACAAGAGGCGGATGTTCTTGTGCTGCAGGTAGCGCAGCACCGGGGCCGCGTCTCGGCACGGGTTTCAGGTGTGGAACGACACAGTGGCGAACCTGACCTTGATGGCTCTGGGCTCCAGTGCCCCTGAGATCCTGCCCGGAGCTCGGCCTTTCCGCAGGAAAAAGGGCGTGAAAACCATATGCTAGCTGTACCTTCCTCCTGTTTCCATTCTCAGGGATCCTTCTGTTGTAAGCCCTTGGGCAAAAACATGGTTTCTGAAGAGGTGGGGAAAATGAGGAATGAACCCTTAGACCTTCGAATGGACCCCATTCAAACGGATCGTGGCCCTTTGTTTTCCCTTAAATTCGCCGCAGAATTGTGCTCAGGCAAGGCACCCCAAATGTGAAGGGTCTTGTTTTGGATGCCTCTGACCAGGAAACCAGAATTCAACCAATCATGTTTGCGCCCCCCCCCCCCCCCAAGAAGGACTTGTCTTCAAATTGGCTTGAAGCCGAAAACCAAACAGGACGCCGCTATCTTTTTTGAGGGGGTCCCAGTTCAGGCCCCTCAATGAATGGGCAGAGGGTGCGGGGGGTGTTGGAAAGGCAGTGGGGGTCCTTTGCGGGCATGGGGGTGGGGCAGCGTGCCCACAAGTGCGAGTGGACATGCGAAACGATGAAATTGTTGGCCTCTAGTTGGATGGTCTAGGCTCTTGGCAGCAGAATGCGTGTGTTTGTTTGCGAGGGCACTTTCAAAAGAAAGCAAAAAAGTCAAGCACCCATTTTAGCGGCTCCCTAGTTTGGAGACAAACTCAGATGGGGCCCTAGGGAGAGACCAGTTTGGATGTTTTGAGCCCCAGCCACTGGCTGATCGAGGGTTCAATCCATGGACAGGGATGACAGGGGCAGGGTCCAAGTCCCGTGGCAATCGGGGCACGCCACGTGTCTTCCATTTGGCGCCGCAGATGCTCAACGCGCGCAGAAGCAAATCCCACACGGTTTGACAGTCCGACGTGTATTTCGTTTATGTGATGAGCTCAAGGAGTCTCTCCCGATGTCAATCACACATCGGTAGATTTTGCATGATTACGCAGAGCAATTCAAGAAAGACCTGTAGTCAATCAAGATCCATCATGCTTTCGTTGCGGAATATGGCTAGATGCCCCCGCGGTCACCGATGTTGGTGACAATTTTGGTGACAAAACCGCTTGGGTATGTTGTTGGGCCCGAACTCAGCCCCTTTCTGCACCTGCTCGGGAGTTGAAGTTCTTGATGGCAAGTAGCTTCCTGAATTTCCAGGATCCCCCCCGCAAGCCGCAGCAAGCTTCTAGGTTGGTACCGTGTTTCTTTTGGTTGTGGCAGGCTTTCTTGGGTACAGGTAAATGGATGCACGGGGGGCGAAAAGCCACGATCGGAAACCGAGGCTCAGCATCATCGAGCTGGTGGGTCGCCCTTGGCCTGTCCTTTGCCGATCGGTTGGGTTTCTGACTGGGCCAATGTACGAAGCTGAAGCCATATGGATTTAAACAGGGAACCCGGGACCCTCCCCCCCCGGCACAAAACAGAGGGTGGTTTCCTTTTTGACTTTCCTTGAAGCAATCCAACGAAGGTACCCCGTAGCCTGCTCTCGACTGAGAAAAATTGGGTGGGTATGTGCCAGAACAGCGGGGCCCCAAGCATGGCTTCGGTTTTCCTTTGCTTTCCCTTAAAGCCAAGCTGCAAAGGGTGCCCTTGCACACACACACAGACACTGACACAGACACATACACATACACACACAGACACTGACACAGACACATACACATACACACACATACACATTCACATACACATACACATACACATATACAGACACACACACACACACACACGCACACACACACACCCATTTGCAGATGCAATGCGTTGAATCGAAGTGCAGCTTGCCCAGCAACCAACTAGTCAATCATCCGCTTGCCCATCAGGTTTCCGCCTCAGTTTACGAGTTGTGGTGGCGACTTCCCTTCTTTGACTAGCCAAGACTGCCTTGATTCTTTCCCTTGACTAAAGAATCGAGCCTTTTCATAAACAGAGTGCAACCAGGTGCCTGGTTATCTTATGGTTGCCAAGGGCCCCCCAATAGGGGCTCCTCAACCAATCGCGGCTAAAAAGGCCCATTAAGCACTAAAAGGGATCGCTTGTTTTGTTTTGGGGGGGTCACTTCTTCGCGGGGCCCGTGTCAACCATGGGATGGGTACGTACTGGGCTGGGAGTGTCACCAACGGCTACTGAACACTACCCACCCACAGTCCAAGCACGGCACCCCCTGGCGGCCAGGCGCCAACTTCTATTCCGGCTCCCTGGGGGCCTCAACCATTGCAGCTTGGCTTGCGCCGGGGACGGTCCCTAAAGTAAGCTGACGTTTCCAGGTACCAAAATTATATTATTTTGGCAGGCTACAAGGTGGCTCAAGCATCAACTTCGGGTTGCCAGTAAATCTGAGGAGTGCCGTTCGTGTCGGGGGGGTTTTCAGGGGTCAAACGAATCCCTGGGAGATGTAAGGCATTTCGCCACGATGCGAGCACTGTCAGCTGCTAAAGAAGTCCCTGCTGACCATTGCTTCGGACAGAATGGCATGGTTATTTTGGCGATTGTTGACTTTACCCGGAAAGATGGGTGGCAGGCTTGCTTCCTTTTTGAGAGTGTTCGCTTTGTGATTTGTATTTCCCGGCTAAGCTTTCCTTGCGGGCCTTGTATTGGGTGCTTTGTCCAACTAGCTCCTTTGCCGCATGTCTACCAATGAGGTTGCCTCCTTAGGATCATGGCATGTATGTGACGTGTCAAAAGAGTTCAGGAAATGATTGGTGTCATGCCGTTCCCTTTCTAAGCCAAATGCTTGGTCGCAACAAGGCCCCTAGTTTTGACACACTTCCATGTTCGCATTCCAACGAACAAATCTGCCACGTTCCCTTTCTAAGCCAAATGCTTGGTCGCAACAAGGCCCCTAGTTTTGACACACTTCCATGTTCGCATTCCAACGAACAAATCTGCCACCAGCCGAGGGCCCAGGGCAGCATATTCTCAGCCTCCTGTTTCCTTTGCAGACCCAAATCCAAGCGCGGACGATCCCTCTCAGTGATTTGGAGCGGGGCACTCTGCAGTCAAGTGCGGCAGAAGAAGACTCAAACGGGTACGAACAAAAAGATCAGGTTGTCCAGTTTCCCGTGGTTTGGGTCCCAGGAAACGATGCCACAGTAGAAGGTTGTGTGACGTAAGCTCTGCTTTTGACCTCCTTGGTGAAGAATCAGGTGGTACCACGAGTGTTTGATTTCCCTAAGAATCTTGGTGCCTCAAAAGGATCCTTTCTGAGGTCCCAAACCTTCCCATGGAGGCCCCCGTTCCCTCTTTCCATCGAGGGTTTAATGATGGTTAGGGAAGTGAGGGCACCGCAATTCGAGCCACGGCCTGGGCCCCGTGCCTAGACATTTGCTTTTTTTGGCAGGAGCCAAGCGTTGTACCCTTGCGCCGGGAGCGAGCCCATGGAAGTCCGCTTCTCTTTCTGGGTCCACCTCTCCTTTCAGGCAACTTGACATGCTTCTTTTCCCGTTTTCAAGGCACCGGCCGGAGCCCGAAACCGGATGAAGAGCCAAAGGATGCATGGGTCAGGTGGGGAGTGCCGCCTTCAACCTCCTGGGCATCACTGGCGCCGGGGCTCCCAGTGCCCAGCTTTCAACCTGCAGGTTGGGAAGTGGACGGCGGATAGCGCCAAAACGAAACCGCCCGGGATAAAGCTTCCAGGATAGGGAGGATAAAGCCCTGCGACTGTAAAACGGCATAAAACGGCTTACGATTTAGGGAGTTGGAGGACACGTAGGTGGTTGTCTGGAGCGTGTGAAGAAAGGTGCATATCAATGTCCTACTTTGTCTGGGGGTGGCCGTTTTCTCTTGCGCAGTCAAGTGGCTCTACAGCTACCTTTCGACTTCCCAACATGAAACCCAGCCTCCACGCGCAGTGATTGTTTTTCTGAACTCGCATGGGCATGAGGTTCACGGGCTGGCCCTTTTTGTTCCTACACAGGGGAACCAGGTTTGCCCCTTAGAACACCAGGCCCCAAAGAGGCCATGGCTAATCCTTGCCGAAGAGCAGAACTTTGAAGGGCTTGCTAACGAGCCTGGGCAATTGGAACGAGCTCGTTTACGAATGATAGGTCATTGACCACCCATGATGAAGGCCCCTTGCGTTTTTTTTTTTGCCCCCCCCCCCACACATAAAAAAAAGTGGCCGCCTGCATGGAACGCCCTCACCCACAACCGCGGAACCAGTTTGCGGGTTTCCTGTCTGCGGAGTTTGAGGTGTGCATCGCCGCGCTGCCTGATGGGGAGCTCAAGATCATCAAGGACACGAAACATGTGGAAACAGAGGTCCCTTGACGCCAAAACCGGGGCTCACAAAAATTCACACGGGGAGGTTTTGCTGAGATCCATTTAGCTTGGACAACTTTGAGGATGTCACTATGGACCCAGTGAAGAGGTCCATCGTGCTACGGCAACAGTGCTCAACTTGCCCGTTTCAAGACCCAAGCCTTTGCCATCAGACCAAAGAGGATCCAGGATTCCACTTTTTTTTTTACAAGAAGCCATCTAAAGACCAAAGGCTAAAAGACCAACCACTGACTATGAAGGCTCCCTTGGCTATTTCCAGGCCGAAGGCCAGGTGAGTTGGATGAGTTGGACTTCGGACATGGCGGAAAGTGAGAGCGGCAGGACCGCACGGTGTTCGCAATCACCGGGTTCTTCTCCGTCTTTGCGTACCTGCCGGAGCCCGAGCGCATCTCGCTCCCGGAGTAACTAGTTTGGACTCTTTTCGGCACATTCACTCAGGAAGTGACGTATCCATGCCGCTTCTAGACAGATGGCCAACCTCCTAGAAGACCCACTTCATGGGTTTGGCAATGACTTCGCATCCGGAGTGGCAAAAACCCATTGTGCATTATCCAAAGGCCCAACCTGGAGTCTTGACTGCAAGTAGGGATGCTGTCCAAGAGAGTTTCGATTGACAGGCTTGCCGTCGCGAAAGAAACACCGGGCAGGAAACCAGCTCTGCCTAAGGAAAGGCAGCTGGGATGTGAGATGTCAGGCATGCAAGACCGGACCTTGGCCTAGCTGCCTTTGGTGTAGGAGACCAAGGCTTACGGAGTCATGGTACTCAGAATCTGACCGAACGTGCCCCGTGCAAAACAAGTACACACATGTTCAGATGTTTTAGTTGTGGATACGCGCATATTCATGGGCATATACATGTTTGATATGTGCAAAGTGCTTCCGCACCAGTGCAGGTGCACAAAGAAGCAAGTGATGCCACTTCCCGCAAGGTCTCAACTATAGAGACTGGGCGGCTTTCATGAAGAAGCTTGAGTTTCATTTGCGTGGAAGCACGGCGCGACCGGGGGGGGGGGGGGGTCAGACGTACTGCAGAATTTACAAGCTCAGCCATGAGCTCCTCACCCTAGCTAGGTCCCGTAGTAGTACCCTCTTACCCTTTTTTGGGGGAGGGTTCCCCTACTAAAATAGACCAGAAAAAAGGGAAAACAAAGAGACAAAAAACGAGCACCCTTCTTCGAAGCTCTCTACACCTCGCGAGCCGTTTGCCGTCGGGTGAGGTGGCTGCTGGTGATTCTGCTCGCCTTCTCAGAGGCCGCTGCTCGGAGTTCGAGTGGCGGTGAAACCAATAGACCAAAGGGAACCAAAGGTGCGAAAAAGCTTCGAATTCAACTAAACAAGGCCCTCCCCACGTTTACAGAAAAAAAGAAGAAGAAACAAAAACAGGAAAAAACAACAAAAAACAGAGCAGCAGCAATCAGGTTGCGCCCTAACATTCAAACCTCCTGTTAGGGAACCATGACTACTCTGGTTCTCAGTGAATGATTTTCTAGCCCTTCCTTCGGGATAAAAATCAAATGGGGTCATTCACCCCCAGGTTGGCTGAGAGAGCATCTGAGCCACTTGCTCAAAACCCGGGGATTGGTGAAGGTTAGTTTCTGGACGATCCCAAGCATCAATAGCTGCGGATATCCGGCTTCTGAATCCTGTACATGATTCTGGGTAGACCATTTTAGCACCAGGTTTTGAGTGCGACTCAAGTGACAAATGGGAGATGGTTCCCAGAGGCCTTGCTCAAGCAGAACTCCAGGTTGACTTTTTTTGTTCTGCCATGCATTTAGCAGAAATTCTCTCAGTTGCCGACCCAAACAGATGTTTTAAATACAACGTAGATGATTTTTCTTGAGATGCCATTTTGGGAGGGGGTGCACACAAGCCAATGTTGACTTCCGCATCTTCCGCGCTTTTTTTGCACAAGTGCAAAGATATCAATCTGTTGATCCGGCCTTTAGCTTTCAAGCAGCAGATGAGACTTCGTGAGCAATATCCTCCTTTGTCAAGCACGAGGCATGTTTGGTTTGTTTTTGTTTTAGGTTTCTTTCGAGGATTGTTTTAAAGGAAAACCAGAAGGAAACCACTCACTTTCAGAGTTCCGTGATTTGGAGCCAGCAGCTTACCAGCAGTCAGCTTTGCAAAGAAAAGGAGTGCCTGGGTCAACAACAGGGTAAAATGCATGTCACACAAACGGGGTTCGGGTGGTTTGACATGAAGCTCCACCAAAAGGAAGCAGGCTGAATGACAACTGAGCCACTTTGTGGAAGTTGCCTAGGCAGGTACCGTCCTTCTGTGAGTGTTTTGTTTGGTTTGACAAACTTGTCTCACGACAACCCATCCTTGCGGCATCCGAACACTCATTACTCCCTCCCGTTGACCAACATGGAGCGCGAAAGGGGACACTTTTCCTGTAGCAGGGACCCATGTTCAGGTTTCATTTGTTTTTGGGAGGTGGCCCAAACAACTAGAACGTGGTTGTGGGAGACTAAACTCAAATTAAGTCATGAGTCATGATCACAAGATACGAAAGCCCCTGGGACATGACTCGATTAAACAAGACAAACTCAGTCCGGCTTAAATGATGTCAGCAACAGTCAACATTTGCCATCGTTTGCTTTTCGCAAGGCGGGCATGGCTCAGACTCCCCAAGAATCACAGCATTCGGACTCGGGGAATCAGCTCACCATCCCATCGGGGAATTGGTAAAAAGGTCGGCCCAGCTGCGCGTGGGTGGCGCCGCAGGACATGGTGGAGCCCTGGGAGGGCATTCTGACCTTCGCCTTCTTCCCCGTGCTGGTTCTGTTGTCGTGCCCGTCTAGTCACGTTTCACCCGGCAAGAACCGGCATGCTCCGGGCTTGCTAAAAAGGAACTTTGAGGGGTCCTGGAAACGCTCAAGTTGAAGCGGTTCTTTCAGAGTTATCTCCAAGAGGCTCGCTTCGACCATGAACATTCAGCAAAGGACGCATGTCAGGCCGGGCTCTCAGCTGATTGGTGTCAGCCCATCTTCTTCAAGCTCCCCAAGACCGTTTGGGTGCTCAACAACTCAATTTGACATCCGATCTAAGGAAAGCACTGGGGAAAACTGCCGCAGGCATTTGTTTGCCTGTTTAATGGCGAGGTCACCCGAGGGGTAACACGTGATGTAGGTCCTTTGCTTCGAGATTCGCGACTATTGGCCCGCCCATTTTGCACATCAGATTTCCGGGTCCTTTTTTGGTGCTTGTTGCCCCCTGACGAAAGAGGTGTTCAGCTTTTGGCTCGATAGTAGGAAGCTCCCCAATGTCCAAACAAGGTAAGGAACGGTTACGAACCCAAGCAAATCTTGGGCAAGTAGGGCAAAGTGCTTCCTTTCCGCGGTTGAGGATTTGGATCCAACCAAACGGCAAAGCTTTGGGAGGTACATGGCGGACATCGGCGTCTTCGGTAAGACTCGACTGCCGCAGTCACACGTGATTTGGTCAGAGGCGATGGATGGGTCGCCACGGGCTGAATCGAGCGATCGCGGGCTTTGTCTGCAACCAGCACTCTTATTGCAGCACACCCTGTCACTTGCCGTGCCGTGTTTATCCGACACATAGCAGACGTTCAGCTCCAGGTTCCGTTGTTAGTTCCGCTTGGAGTGCCTACTGGTGGCTTTGGGGTTCCTGCGCTTGCTGAGTGCCAAATGCATACATGCGTTCTGTGCGCTTGGCGGATCCCCCCCCCCCCGCCCCCAACGGGTGTGTCCTTGCGCTCCACATCTTTCTGGCAGAGCACGCACGAGAGGCCACGCCTCGTTGGAGAAACATGGTCACCTGGCCTTCTCGTTGATATTGGCCGTAGAGGTAGGATACAGCTTGCATGCTACCGTTGACTAAAAGCGAAGTAAACGATAGAATGCGTGTGGTTTTGCAGGACCCAACTTCAATTAGGTCATTGTTCCGGCTGTGCACTGGTCAATCATGTCATTCACATTGCCTCCCTTCACCTCCCTACAGACTTTTGCCGCGAAGCTTGTGCCCACAAGCTTGCCCTGGGACTGTCAACCAGGCCCAACCCGACCCAGCCCAACCCAACCAACCAACTGATTCCATGGCGGGATGCCAGGTGACGCAGCAACAAGTGGCCGAGTTGATGATGCGAGTGCGCCGGGACTTTGGGGGTCTGAGGCTCAGAGTGTCAGAGCGTGGCATTCAAACGGAACCCGAAGTGTTCACACATCCGATCTCCCGCCTTTCAAGTTGTTTTGGGCATCCCTGGCCCGTTGGGTTGGCAAACTTCAACTACATGTGCAAGTTTCTGCAGCGTTCTTCATCGTTTTTTTTTTTGGTGGCTGTGTTTTTTTTGTTTTTATCAAGGCCCAAAAAGTGAAACAATCCGCAAGCCAGATCCTGGGAAGTTGTTGCTCGTCACAGAAGTTGTACCAGGAGTTTGGAGCAGAGCAAATGACAACGCGCAATCAATTGGAAGTGGGACAAGGGCCACGTGACTTCCATCGGGCAGCCTCGTGTCGGCTTCCATTCTGAGTCAATTGGATCCCCTCAAAGACCTCCAAGCCAAGGGGAGCCTAGCGATTCCGTTTGCATTCGTGTCCGCGAACAGGATTCCTTACCTCTTAAAAACACACAACTTTTCAACTTTTTGGGTAACATGGGCTATGTGTCTGAAAAAGGTTAACTTCCCCAATCCTTGGAGTTTTAAGGGGGAAGGGATGATTGTTTGCCAAGGCAGTTGTGGCATGCATCCTCAGAGAATCTGTGAAGAACGCCTTGTAAACCAAGCACCGCCCTGCTCCTAAACTTATGCACTGGGTGCCAATCATCCCAAATTGCTTGGTGGACATCAGTTTTGTTCAAACCCCATTCGATGCCCAACTTGCTTAGTAGTTCGGAGTTTGGGGGGGTGCCTTCCCTTTGGGTTTGACAAGGTCCGGAGGCTTTACCCTCTTTCCAACAATGGAAGTGGACAGAGAGCTTTCCCCGAAACGAAAGTACCCCTTCCAAAATCCTTTCGTCAGCTTCCACGATTGTTGGAGGGAGGGTTGCCATCCAAACATGAATGAGAGGTAAGGCTCTCGATGGCGCCGATGAAAGGGCCCTTCCCCACAATGCCTAGAGCACCATAAAGAAGGCGCCTGTCACTGTGAAGGGGCTTCTTGATTTTCTAGGGGGAAATCAATATCAGAAACCCCTAGAAGGAAGCTTTGGATTGGATTGGTGGGCTTGGGGATTTGAACCCCTGGTTCTTTCAGAGGATAAATGGGAAACCCCGAGCTACCGCACAACTGGCAACATTCGAATCCATTTGCTTGCGGCCTTTCGGAGAAACTGCCCTCGCCGGCCCAGAAAACTTGAGCGAGGAGCAGGCAGGGAGGGATGGAGCGTCAGAACTCATCATGTCTCCTTTGCACCAGCCTCGAGACAAGGCAGTCGGTTCGTCCAACTTTGCCAGGGTTGTCACACAAGTCCTGGCAAGGCAGGCTTGCTTGGGGAACGAGGCCGGTTTGGTGGAAATGCATCACATATGTGACCTGGATAAAGGGCGCTCCCCCTTTCAGTTTGTGCCAAACTCAGAGCTTCAAAAAAGTTTTTGACACAAGCTGACGGGGTAGGTGCTTGCGGCACTGCACTACGAGAGCAACAAGCATCGCAGCCGCGCCATGTGACGCGATCGAATTGGAGAGTTGGCCGCTGGGGGGATGGGTTGGCGAGATAGATAATTTTGCTGGTGGGGGGGGGGAATTCAAAAGTGCAGAGAATAATGATTATTGTTGCATGACTGCTGCAGAGCATAAAGACTATTTTTGAAAGCTGTTGTTTTGCTACTGGCGTGGGTAAAGCTGGGGCTGGCCTCCCCCACCCCGACCAGTCCGAAAAATGGCTCGGTGGAGAAAGGAGTAGCATGGGTCCACATAGCACTTGTGCCAAGATTGCCAGGTTTCCCTGGCAGAGGCTCCCCAAATAATGAGGCCGCCTGGCCGACCTACTGATGGAATTGCCACCAAAAGTTTTTCTGTTGGTGGTGCCTGCCTGAAATTCAAGATAGAAGCCCACACGGGGTCCCCATGTTGCAGCAGCTCCTTCCGGCTTCAAAACATGTTCTGTGAAGGACAGGGGTACAGCCCCCAAAGATGCCCGCTTGACCTTTTGAGCGCAGCGGCGTATGTTGTCCCCCCGCCGGCGAACATGAAAGGACCATGCCTGGTTGCCTGTTGGTTGCCCTGTGGTCTGCCCTTTTGAAACCTCTGCAGGAGGGCACCGATGACACAAGTTCAAGCCCAACCAGACATCGCACCCGGCAATTCTCTTGAGCCCAGGTACCGAGTCGCAGCAGTTCGCGAGATGGCTGGCGGAAAGAAGGCCGGGTGAACCTTCAGAACAAGGTTTTTCCCGACAAAGGCGTGGATTCTTTAGGTTACCCCTAAATTGTTGGTTTGGATTGGATGGTTTGGATTGCTTTGGATCTTGTTGAGGGCAAATGGGACACCCCCGAACCTGCAAACCAATCCAAATCACCCACGGGAGGGAAGCTGAGATTCGGTTTTCCAAGAGCAAGCGCACTGACGGAGACGGTTTCAGAATGGCATGGCTCTGGTGCTTGGCGCCGCGCCCTTCCTGCTTCATGCCAGGTGTCCCGTTTTAGGATTGAGATCCATTGAACGGTTGGCGGCCCCGACTTTCTGTGCTACGGGGACCACCTAAGTGATAAGTAGTCATGAAGATCGCAGAATTTCTGATTTTCCACCATCAATTTATTTGTTGGGCTATTTCCTCATGATATTCTGCACTTAGAGTTCGTCAAAATAGGACTCGATCCCCGAACAATTTGGTTTCCAACCAAATGCCAAGTGCCAAGCAAAAAGGGGATCAGGCTTGCAGCGGTGATCCCTCCAATTCCCCCGCAGCCAAGTTGTTCCGGCTGGCGGCTTGCGGTCAGTCATCTCGCATACACTTCGTCAGCTATTCTAACCTCACCCTTAGTAGCACCAATCATTTTCGCAAGTTTGGAGGATTCCCCACTCACAATATGGGTGCCTGGTTGCAACTGGGTTCGTGGGGCCTTGGGCAAAGTAGACGGTTTGAGATTGCACGACCTACCATTTGGGCGTAGTTGTTGAGGAAATTATGCCATGTATACGTTCACCGCGGTGTACTAAAGCGGGAGTCGCAAATCATTGGGAACACGGTTGACAACGTGTATCTTCCACACTTTGGTGACCCCCCGCCCCCTCGCAAACGAAATTTGGGGCGCGGGTGTCCCTTGGAATTGGCCCACATTTTCCCAAATGGACGCAGCTGCGAACCCCGCGGCCCTCCCCCATAGGCAACTTGATACGCCAATGATCTAGACTAGTTCCTTGTTGCAGCCCCCTTTGGATGTGTAGTGATTTGGGGACTCTCAGATAGCTGTTGAATCCGATTGCCCCTCAAAGATCTGACGCTGCTTGTTTTCGCTCCGGCCCAACCACACCTTTCCATTCGAGACTCAAATCGAGCAAACTGGGATCGGTGTGTCCGGGTGGGTGGCATGCTTGCCCTGCTCAAGTCTCTTTGGAGCAGAAGGATCAAAGTTGCGGAGTCTCCTCCAAAGCTAATTCATGCTTTAGGATGTGAATTTGAATATGGGTGTGTGTGAGAGTAGGCCACCCCAAGTCAAATGTTGGCTTTCTGATGGTTTCTCTGTAGCTAAGCCAGCCCAAAATACACATGCGCACACACACACACACCCATGGGATTTTCTGTGTGCCCTAGATCTGGGACAAGAATGCGCCCTGACCGAGGTGGTGGGTATCAATGACAAGAGCAGGCAGCAGCTGGCCGGAACCCTTAGAACCTCTGGCCTCAGAAAATGTTCTCTTGGACCCCGGGGTTGCGCACAAGGACCGGGGCCCGTTTTTTAATGGAGAGTGTTTCAGGGGAGTTTTGAGACAGGGTGCCCAATTCCCTTCGAAATTCTGCACTTGCTTTTGAAGCGGGAGTAACTGAAAAGTGCACGCAAGCATGTATGTGGTGTGTGGGTGAGTACTCCCCTGGGTGAAGCAATCACGGATCCGCAAGGTTTCACGCGAACCCCGCGTCAGAGGGGCTGAGGGTGCACATTCCCAAAGCCCAATTCTTGCTGAGTTGCTAATCAGCAACTCAGCAAGAATTGGGCAGGGTCTGAGACTCAGCCCATGCATCCACGGTTCGTGATTTACCTTGAGGTGCCTAGGTCTTGAATTTCACGACTTGGGGAGGCTGGCAGCTTTGCAACACATGCACGCGAAAAAGCAACGACAGCAAGCAACAACGACAACGACAACGACAACAACAACGACAACGACAACGACAACGACAACAACAAAAACAACAACAACAACAACAACAACAACAACAACAACAACAACAACAACAACAACAACAACAACAACAACAACAACAACAACAACAACAACAACAACAACAACAACAACAACAACAACAACAACAACAACAACAACAACAACAACAACAACAACAACAACAACAACAACAACAACAACAACAACAACAACAACAACAACAACAACAACAACAACAACAACAACAACAACAACAACAACAACAACAACAACAACAACAACAACAACAACAACAACAACAACAACAACAACAACAACAACTACAACTACAACTACAACTACAACTACAACTACAACTACAACTACAACTACAACTGTAGGTTTGAAAGCGTTGCGCCAAGAATATCAGCGTTTGCTCTTGCTGATGTTTGCATGTTTGAAGGAAACATAGGCAGCAAGCACGAGTCCTGTTGCCTGGATGCAGTTGTCAAGCTGTTGCACATCTTACTGCTTTGCCTTCCGAGGCAAGCCACATATAATTTGCTGATTTCCATGGGTACACTGCGTTGCTTTGGGCGGAGAACCTGTGGACGGAACAACGACAACAACAACAAGAAGAAGAAGAAAGAACAACAACAGCAAGAACAAGACGTACTACTACTACTACTGCTACTACTGCTACTACTGCTACTACTATTGCTACTTCTGCTGCTACTACCGCTACTGCTACTACTACGGCTAGTGTTGCTTCTGCGGCTGCTGCTCCTACTACTACTACTACTACTACTACTACTACTACTACTACTACTACTACTACTACTACTACTTCTACTTCTACTGCTGCTGCTGCTGCTGCTGCTACTGCGCCTGCTACAGCGACTGCTGATGCCAATGCAGATGCTAGTGCAACTCCTGTTGCTAAAACAACAAGTGCAGCCGCAATCGCGGCTGCAACGCCATCTGCCACATCAACTACCAACAACCGCTACAACATCTACAACTACTACAACTACTACAACTATTACAGACAACAAATACAACTACTGCAACTCCAACTACAACAAAAACTACTGCGGTTGCTGCTGTTGCAGCTGTTGCTACTGCTCATTGCCACTGATACTGCAACAACTGCGACTACGGCTAGTTTACAGACCACAACATGCTACATTGAGCACAGACCAAGCAGCATGCATCATGCAGCATGCAATGAGATACAGTAACATGCATCAATTCACGCAAACATACAGCAGCATACAGCATGTGGCCAGACATCCACAAGCATTAAATGTTTATCTGCCTGAATCAGCCTCGGCCCGCCCTTCTCTGCCGAGGATGCCACAAAAAGCACCGTCCTGGCCAGCGTCAGCCTCAACAGAATCGAGAAGGCCAAGGGTGGCCTATTCTTTGTTTGGGCACTAAGGGGGGGAGGTAAATGCGGGAAAAAGGGGTCCAATATGTTTTTCGCTTGAACCGTTCTGATATCCTCTTTTTAGGTGTGTTTTGACTGAATTTCTCTTGGTGCGCTTGCTTTCGAGCAGGACTTGAATGGCATGGCAGTGTACAGGCTCAGTCGTTCGAATGCGGGTGCCGTTGGGCGTGACACTTCTCTACAAAGTTTACTGAATTTGTAGGCCAGCATGGCCAGCAGATGTACGTCCGATGTTCAGGGCTGAGCAATGACATGCAATTACCCTGACTGCAGCCAGCTCGCGCCTTGATTTTGCGACATACCCAATTGAACTTGGGTGAAGCATAAGATCCATTCCGTGAGGTTTACGAACCGTCCACGGAGCAGGCAAGCCTATGACATGAGCGTGTGTCTCCAGGAGCTCTCCTCTTGGGTTGGTCCTGTTTCTATGTTCAATTGAAGTATCAGGCTCCAAGCTTTGACCCAAATGTTGCGTGGCATACCATTCGCAACATATACAATAAAGCATTGCCGGGCAGCCTTTTCAAAGGGCGCAGCACTTTGCAACGCTCATGTTGCTTGGCAATGCTTGCATCTAAGGCCTTACTTGCGAGCGTAGACCGCGGTTGTGTACACACCCCAAAACTGCGCATGGCTTGGAGGCCTGTCGATGAATGTTGTTTTTGCTTTGCTGGGCCGAAAGCCAACCTTTCAACTTTTGAGGCTGGTAAACTAAAGGAGCGGAAGATGTTGAACTTCTGTTTTCAGGGTTTCTGGGTCAGGCAGTTCAGTGCTACGGTGCAACAATTTGCCAAAACAAATTGGTGGTTTAAACTCGTGGTTTGCATGGGGAACACGCCGACTGCATGCGCCCTGAAAGAGCGCGTCCAATTCGCGCAGGCGCGATTCAGCCCTAGGTGTCGCACCACTGGCATATGCCCTTCATATACTCGTTGCTTTGCCAAGTTGTGTTTCTTGAAAGCATGACAGGCGCACTTGCGGTAGCAAAAGATACAAAAGGAAAGCCACTAGTTCGGGCATGTGTTTGTTGCCCGTGCATTTCTTCTGCGGCTTTTGTGCTTCCGTGCGCCAGCCGACGACCACCGTGCAGTTTGTATCCTCCCAGTTTTCAGCCGGGGAGCCTGGCGTCGGGTTGGGAAAAGACTGGAGACAGGCAAGCCCTTCGCCCGGGTATGTGTCAAATCGGGAGTTGGAGCCCCCAAATGGGTTTCGGTTTCCCTTTGAAATCCCATCAAGCCAACCCTCCAAAAACGCGGCATCTACACAAATGGTTGTTTTTGGATTCCGGGGCTTGCGGCTTAATGTTCTACTCGTTTCTTTTCGCAGCTGAGGTGCTGGAGAGCGTGGGTAAGGCCAAGTTCGGGCTGGTGCGCAGCGGAGAGCTGTCGACTCCAGTGAACGTCTGGGGCCTCGGGCGCGGCCCCAGATTGAAACACGTCACTCTGCGTAGGGACACCGGGAAATCCCAGCAGAATGACGTCACTGCGGGGAGGTTGGGCGAGAATGGTGCAGGGAAATCAATAGAATTTGTCTTGAGGGGAAATGTCAGCGCCAAATGCAAAGGTCTGTTGTTCTGGTAATCCCTCGAAGGAAGACCCCTTGAACAGTACCTCTGTCTTCAGACCCTGTTGTTCAGGAATAGCGACCTCCTCTTGGGGATTCAAGGGGGTCATGCCCATGAGGAGAGCACGAAAAGGGCCGAAGATAAGTAGATTGGGTTGATGTCATAATGGGGAATTAACACAAGTACTTATTTTGCCCTTATTTTCATCATGGTGAAATTAGCTTGTTCCGGGTCCCTCTCCAAATTAAATGCCGAAAGATCAGGTGTTTTGTGGGTTAGGCAGGGCTACATTTTTCTGGATAAACAATAGAGTGTGAAAAAGCAGGGGCTCAGTCCATTGTAAGGTTGATCCTGGTAGATTCCTTTCTGCAAGGGTTGTCAGCCGAACATCAAAAGTAGCTCCCCAAACGCACACCCAACTTGACAAACATGAAGCAGATCGTGAATGAGAGCCCTCATTAAGGCACACACCCAACTTGACACACACACGCACATGAAGCACATGGTTAAGGAGAAACATAATTTCATCAACAAATTAAAAGGGGCCCATTGTACCCCTAAAACATATCTAAAAGTCCTCAAGATTCACTCATCCAGGAGCAACACTGCACAATCATAAGCTGGCCCAAGGAGCGACTTTTACCCAGGCCCATTGCACGTGGATCCCAACAAATATTCTTCTAGCTGTACTTCCCCCCTGCACCGGGGATATTTCGGAGAAAAGTGGAGCAACCACGCAGACGCCCGAGGTGCTGTGGCACACTCGCGCAGGGAACAAGGCCAGCAGCGCCAAGGCGGACAAAGATTTCAAGATGCAGGCAGGGTGCCTGAGCGGCGGGCTAAGCTGTAGGATCCCCTCACGGAACCCCTTCCCCCAAAACTCGCCCAGATGTGGGGTTGCTCAAAAGACAGATCCCAGGAGCGTTATATGAATTGGGGGATTGGGGGGCGCGCTTTCTGAACCGTCGCGTGGCGCAGAGCAAGGATCACAGTCGCATTGTGCATGTTCATATATATGAACCCATTACCATGTTGGACCCTGCAGGAGCCGGTTTCTATTGTGCCATGTCTTTGAACGAAGCCTCACGCTGGGCCCAAGCTGCGTCCACACCTTGCCGACGTGGGCGTCTTTGTAGGTCTATCCACTTGGAGGGCCTCCGTTGCTTTGTCCACAAGTTCCAAGGCAAAAAAACACGCTCCAACCCTCAAGGCCTCCTGTCCCAGGTGAGGGCCGAGGTGAGCCGTTTTCGGACATGTTGCGCTCATCTCCCTAGATGTCCTTTTTTCTGTTTTTTTCGTGGTGTGTGAGTTTTCCCTTTGGTAGGGGCGATGGTTAGGGAGAGATCTAGGAAAAGCCCTGAACGCATGATCGAAAGGGGCTCCTTGGCCAGGAGGGCAATGTCACCTTCGAGGCCTTCGAAACAGAACAGGCCAGGGGCAGGTGGGTGGGGAAGCCTCCAGGAAACGTTGCCTGACGTCCAAAACTTTCTCAACTCTTGCGGCGTGATTCTTATTTATCCAGTGCGGAGTCGCTACCCAGGATCTAGAGGCTTGTGCATATTCGATTGGAAAGACGGGTGGCCTATCCAAACACAAGGGGTCTCAGTATAAAACGGTCAAGAAGTTGGTTGGTTCAAGTGGAAAATCTTGAGTAGGACTCTACCTCAGAGTCAACAAAAGGGATACCCAACGTGAGGGTTTTTGTTCCCTTGGAAGACAACCTTTCTCAGGTAAACCCTCACACCAGGGTCCCACCAGGGTCCCACAGGGTGTACCTGTAAGTGACTTGTGGGTGTCGAATTGTCCTTTTCACGAAGCTCGCTTCGACGTAGAAATGAGGGGACAGTTCTCTTGGATGGACTCGTTCCTTCAGCCAAACAACTCAATATGCATCAGGATCACCACAAAGAGTCGGGAAGCTACCCAAAGTTCATATTTCCCAGACCCCTCTCTTTGTTCCACCTAGGTGAGTTCCCTTGTTCCACTGGCTGGCCGCTTGGGCTCCACGGGAAGCTGCGGGCCGGGCTCATTGGTTCATTGGTGTGCAGAGGGCCCTTCAGACCACTGGGCATCAAGGAGCTCACCCATTGGCAGGTCCCTTACTTGTTCCCGAATTCCTTCTGTCCGGTTTTGCCATTCTTGCCATGCTCCTAGATTCGGCCATGGCGCCGGAGCTCAAAACCTTTGGGGATGTTTGGCCCGAACCGCAGGCGCAAGCCTCCTGGAGACCCCCTGAGAAACAGTTTGGGCTGAAGGCTGGTTGAGGGGCTTGAAGACTGACAAAAGCCTCTGAAACCTGAGGCCAAAGGTCTCGAGGCTTGCTTTGGGTGGAAATGGGTCCCTATGCCAGGTAATCGAGGTCGAGATCATCGATGATGACCAGTATGAAGAAGACCAGGATCGGTCAGAAGCGCATGCTGTGCCGACCCCTTGTTTGACCCTTGGTCTACACAAGCTGCTAGTGTTTGCTTGAACACGGACCATTGAAACATATTGAAACCATGTTTGCCCAACCCAGGTTTTGAGCATATTTGGTGGGGCGAGCTGCCAAACTTCTGGCCACGGTTCTCAGAAAACGCCGTGTCCACCATGTGAGCAGCGTTTTTTAATCAAATGAAAGGGTTTATACAAAAGGGGAACTGCATGTACTTTGCGGAGGCAATCCTGGTTGGGGGCGTAGGCTCGCGTAGGCTTCAGCGCGTAGGCTGTTGTGTCACCCCTCGCGTAGGCTTTTCGCGTAGGTGTTCGTTGAACAAATCGTGGCTCAGTGCTGTTTGCCAAGTATAAATGAATTTGCTTCTTTTGCCTTCATTCTGTTTGTTCTGAGTCTTCGCGTAGGCTCCGCGTAGGCCCCGCGTAGGCATTCCCGTAGGCTTTCAAGGCATTTTGGGTACGTAGACCTTTTCTGGCAGCCAGATCCGTGGACAGATGCGGGCTTCTTACTTGTACTGCAATTCTGATCTTAGAGCCGGAGCTGCCAAAACTGCACTTGTACTGAAAAGTTGCGATTTTCCAGCTGGAGCTGCCACAGTGCACTTCGACACTTGAACTCAACATTTGCCCGCGTAGGCATTCGCGTAGGCACCTGGAAGCTGACTTGTGCTCGCGTAGGCTCCCCTCGCAGGCCGCGTAGGTTTGCGTAGGTTTTCGCGTAGGCATGCAAGTAGTGTATAGGCCTCGAACCACCAAAAAAACACTGCTCATGTGAGTCTTTTATGTATTTTTTGTACTTTCAGGGTCATTAAAGGCAGCGAGGTCGGGGCTGGGCATCCCATGGTGCAATTCGGGATAAAACTTCACCGACCTGTGCACACCACCCTTCTGTGCACTGGCAGGCGTCCCCATTTGCCCATGGCCTTGGAGCCCTTGTGGGACTTGAACTTTTTGCCAGTTAAAGGGTTTTCCATTAATCCACTAAAAGTTAAACTTTTAGCAGGGCAGCAGAAAGCAACCGAGATCTTGTTTAAACAATAGTGGCTGAACCCCCGGTTTTGCAGCAGTTTGGAATGGGACTCCAGGAGTTCTACATCGACATCGTCTCTGCCGTTTCCACCAGCGACAAGGTGAACGCCGTGGTCGGCGAGAAGAAGGATGCGACCGTGGCATGCCTGGCCCGCTTGGCCCCATGCGGGTTGGGCTTCACGACAGTGGTCATATTTAGGTCAGCTAAGCGTGTACTATTTGAGGGGAGTTGCGCTTTTAGGGGGACACCTTTTTGGGGTGCCCCTATTTTGACACATGCCCCTAATTAGTAGATGGCGATGCTTTCATTTTGGTTTTGCTCATCCAGTGCCATCCATTCTTTCATCACTGGGATGCCCAGGGCCCCAATGACATCACCCCGCCCGCACAGAGTGTTGTAGGTTCGCTTGTTTGGCCTTGGCCTCGGCCGGCCGAGTTGGCCTGCTGGTCTTATCTGGCCTTATTGTACTTATTTGATCTGATTTGGCTTATGATCTAGTTTGTCCTTCTGCTTGCTTGGCCTTGGCTGTGCTTCGTGATCACTTCGTGTCAGCGTGTCAAGATGGGGTGGCTGGTTCCTTGATCATGCCCCTCCTCTCCAAGGATTCCATGGATTCCGGGCCCAAGCCCAGGGTGGCAGCCTGGTTTGGGCTCACCCCGTTGCAACTGAATTGACTCACAAACACCTGGGGCTCTGCAGCAAAGTAGGGTCAACTTCCATCGAGCCTGGCTTGGCACGTATGGCAGAAACCCCTTTCAGGATTTGTTGGTAAGTCGACTTCCCATAGCCTGCCGGGAGAGGCAGCAGGAACAAAAGTCAAGGTGAATCTCCGAAGCTTGGCTTCAGCCAAAGAAACGGGGGGCCTATGCTTCTGGGTTGTTCAAAGAAAATCCCGAACTGCACCAGATGATAGTTGGCTTCCCTTGTGGCTGGGTTTCACCACGCACTTCTGATTGGGAGAAATGATTCCTCCCCTTTTGGACCCCAAATGAACAACCCAGTTTCGGGCACATCTAGAGACGTGGGCTGTTGTCCATGCGGTTCAGTTTGGACAACACATGTTTTTGTCCGCCAGGTCATTGTGGATGACGACCTGCCCGGCATCCTCGCATTTGTGGAGGAGGAAGTTTACATAGAGGCGGCCGCAAGCACGCACGCGCGCACGCATGAAGCCACTTTCTATGGTGCCCCCCCCATCTATTCTAGCGAGTTCCGGGGTGTGTTTTGTGGCAACATGTGGTAACAGTAACATTCGGCTATGAAATTCAATGTTGGACTAAATGCTGGCCACCGGCGGTGCGTCAGAGAGAGAGAGAGAGAGAGAGAGAGAGAGAGGAGGGATCCCTAGTTAGAATTTATGCCCGTTTGGCTCAGGACATCTGGAACATGAACGTAGCAATGTCCACGCGGAAACCTCACGACCCAGTTTTCGGTATGTGGCAAAATAGGTGGACGCCAAAAACTCGGAGATCTTCCCTGGGTTCTCCTTATGAACAACAACGAGATGAGTTCCCCTTTGCCATTCCCCAAAAGGAAGCAAAGGCACGGACATGCTTCAGCGGTTGCCAGGCCCCAAAATACAACAATCTCCTGTCCTGTGGAATCAACGGCCCTAGGCTTCTGAAGTCGGACTTGCCAGGAAAGCCTCGAGAAGCAGCAACTTGAGCTGAAGGTCCAGCGCCGGATGGGCGCATCAGGCCGGGTTTATGCACTGAGGTTAGAAACCCCACTGACCGCTCGCACTCGGACCATGGTGACTTATGTTGACTGCTTTTGGAGGCAAGGTCGGAAGCTGGGATTGTCTCCCTTCAACCTACCATTTCTGGGCGACCGATCAAGTGGAGCCGTCATTTAACGCACCTTTGCGAAAGATGTGACGAACGAGCAGCAGAGGCACAAGCCACGTCCTACACCCCTGAACTCAGAGCATGTTGGTTCCGGTTTAGATCTGAATGATTCGAGGCGGTTGATGCGATGATTGATTTGAGCAATAGGCGAGATTCATGTCATGCTCATGTTTCACCCGCGAAGATAGGGAAGATTGGTAGTGCCCCCGTTGTCTTCCCCGAATGCAAACACGGAGTCCTCATCTGGAACACGCGAAACCATGGCTTCGAGAGAAATGTGTCAGGGGGGGGCTTGTTTCATCGGGGGAGTGCAACTACTAAGGGTCTCAATGGCACTTGCCCACCCATAGTCGCAAGTTCGCAAGTTTTCTATGGCTCATTGTCCGGATGTCTCAAACGACCCCCCGAAAATGGTGGGGTTTCCTTGTGGCTTCCGGTTGGGGCGCTTTCTATCATGGTTGGTGGCCTAAACGGGGGTTGCGCAACTTGAAGCAGCTCCCACCTGAACTGGGGGCACTCCCCCCACTCACAGTCACCGACTTGGTGCTTGGCACGTGGTGCATGCTGTCCGATTTTGTCTGAAATGAGAGGATTGGCTGGCCCACCAAAGGAGCCACTTGAAAACCAAAGTCTAAAACTGCAACACCAAAGGCCCGGTGACACCAAGTTGAACATGACAAGCCGTCACTCTGGCTGTGATGGGTTTCGGAACTGGCCTCAAATCCGCGCTGAACGCGAGCGAACGCCAGGAACGGTGTGTTGCAAATACCGCACGGAGGACGGATCTGCCGGGCTCCCGTCTCGTGCATCCTTCGGTTTTGAAATCTGGTGCCTTTGAGGGTTGCCGAAATGAAAGGATGCATTCGAACCCAGAAGGCCAGCTGTTTCAAAAGGTTTCTACATGTAATCCCTTTCTCCCTATACATTAAAAATCCAGCAAATAAAGAACATGGGAGAAACAGTATTATTCTTAACAATTAGTTGTTATTGTAAGTAGCATTATTACTACGAATCTTCTGCTCCAGATTTGAACCGCCAACTTCCATGCTTTGGAAAGTACTCCCCTCCTTTCTGGGCCCGAACAAATTCACAGCTGGTTGTTTTCTATAGTAAGGTTTCAATTCTAATTGGAAACCACAGCCTGTTTTTCTTTCGATCGTGCTTGCTGACCGAGGGCAAGGGGTCCCCCAAATGCACCTGGAGGAGAGGTTGGTGGGACTAATAGCTAGTTGAGTATTGGCTTAGAGAAATTTGCCGGCTTGTGGTTGTTTGCAAAAAGTGAGCGAATCAATGCAAATTAGGGGCCTCGAGGTGGAAAGCTCATATTCCATCCCTCGCGCTGCCATTAAGCTTGCTCTTCCCCATTCTCCTCATGACAAACTGGGTCCGACCCTTTTGTGGCCAGAGCACCACAACACGGTTCCCATCGGCCCAAAGAAGCTACTCCACATTTGGAACATGTGTGTGAGGGGGGGGGTTCTACTTTCAGGTGTTTACATTTTGACAGCTGTGGGAACCTTCGGCCGCGAGCATTTTTGTTGAAGGGAATGTGTGCCCGCAACCTTCGGGCCATATGCACTGAGGTTTTGGGTTCACTAAGAAAAAATATCATTGTTTTAGGCTACCAGTCTCCAAAGCCGGCCTATGGCGAACGCTAAGCCGCGTCCAAGGCCAAAGCGGGTCACGACTACGAGAAGCTTTCGGGAGATTTGGAGTTCAAGCCAGGCGAAGCGGAAGGGCAGGACGCTCTGTGTGCAAAACGGTTGCCCTTTCCACTCGGAGAACATCGGAGAATACTTCCCCCCTTGTCAACTTGTTGCGACTTCAGTCACTGAGCATACTTGGTGGAGCTATGCAAGATGTGCTGCAAATAGCCTCTCTCACTAACATGGCACCTGGTACGGGGTCCGGGGTCCCTTCACTTGGGTATGGGTCAAAATGAAACCACCAGGGGACCGCGGGTTTTAGTCCATGGTTCCACTTTTCAGGGTTCCTTTGTGGGTACCTATTTTTGAACCGCTGCCACTTGGAGGAAGAGCATACTGAATAACTGCTTCCCCTCCAGCAATCAACATTGCTTGGACGGTCAAAGGCCAATGGTGACCAGGGCCCTGATCAATCACCTGAGATTGATTCTGAAGGGGTGCTCCCATCAGTGGAACTCATGGGTGAACATGCCATTGTGGCATCTACACGTTGAGGGCCTTTTGCCATGTTCACGCGTGAGCCCGAGATCTAGCAGCATGGCGCCGGGTACCAGCGCATGTTGAAAAGCGCGACCGATCTTTGCTCGAGATCGTGTTGCAGCGTAACGACTAACAACGTAGCAGCTTAATAGCTTCGTCTAGCAGCGTAGCAGCTTAATAGCTTCGTCTCACGGCGTAACAGCTTAATAGCTTCGTCTAACGGCGTAAAGGCTCGTGACGTGTCGAAAACGCGGCCACCCTGCCTGCACCCTCTTTACCGGTAGCCTACAACTCAAGTCATTGCCTCTGCTACTGTTGTATGCATGTCACATAGCTGGCGATGTTTGTCTCTGCTCGCCGTGTTAGAATCGGCCTTTTTTAATTTGCCAAAAAGAGACTCCCAGGCCGCCTCTCTTTTCAACCTCGGATATGTTGGGACACTCGGGCGACGTCTCCCGAGTCCGTTATCTGTCTATTTCCCATGGTCTCACAAGTCATTTGATTCCTCCTGGACCCCCGTATGCCACTGGAATGTCTTGGAGAGCTGTCGGAAATGATCAATTGCATGAAGGGCGCTGTGTTGGCAAGGGCTTAATCTACCACACCTAGAGAATAGCCGGAGTGGATGTCTTAACACGTGTGATTGGTGCAACCCTGATATGTCAAGTTTTTGTTGCTACCGTGCGCCTATGCTTCAGCGCATTCATCAGCTTTGCCTTGGATAGGGCAGGGAAAGGCAGAGCCCCTTTTGCGTGACACGGATAGGGAGGAACACGCGCGGCTCTGCGTCTTGGGATGGCTCCCGATTTGGCGAGGAGTGGCTGTTTCGCCACACCTTTAGTGTTTAGAGTCCTGTTGGGATGTCCTGACGTCTGGCTACTCCGGATGGATCCTATTCCCAGATGGTGTCCGGAGATCCTCCAATGGGTGCAATCCCAGGCAAGCAAAAACGCGAAGCTCCTGCCCCGCCAGGCCAAATGGAGGCCTTCCTGAAGGCCCGGAAGACGACCTCGAAGGTGTCGGGCAGTGCCATGACACCATGTTGGATCTAAGTGCAAACTTAGTTCAGTTTCTTTCGCGATCATTGATATAGTAACTCTGGGGAGGGTACCTGGAAGCTCAAATTCCTCTTGAAGGGACCCTTTTAGCAGGGGCCATGTTAGTGGAAGAGAGGGTAATCTTTAAAGAAACGCAGAGTGAGAATGGGGGGTTGTGGATTGACAATATGTGGTGATGATGATGTGCAGTTCTGCTCGAATTAGCCCTTTAAAGGCAACAAATCCTTCGATCCATTGGTTTTGGTTGGGCTCCAGACCAAACAAACCCATTCGTTTGCCAAAAGGCATGCCTGGCCTTGTTTGCCCTTGACACCACTGAGTGGGCGGGGCTTTGGGGGGCACGTTGTTTCGGACCCTGGGTGTAGATGTTTGATAGGTTTTGGGCTTAAAGTAAATCGGAGTTTCCAGTGCTTGATTTCTTCACTATTTGGTTGAGTCTTCAAAGACACATGCGTTCCGGCAAAGTGTGTGTGTGTGTGTGTGTGTGTGTTTGTACATTGGCAGTCATTGTTAGACACATTGTGCGCAGGGGGTTAGCCACACAGTTCCAAGGATGAAGGCAGGCTGTTGGCGCTTAAGCCGTACCCTTCGGGCCCTCGTTTCATTCTGCGGCCGCGAAACATTGCGCACTGACAACACCAAAGGTTGCACAAAGTGGGGAGGCTGTAGATACGGACGCCATCATGGTGAAGGGGAGGAAAAAGGGGGGGGTGCGAACAGGCTACATCGGGTCAGTGGTATGAACCGCGGATATAGACTTTCTGGGTGGTCGATTAACAAAGTGAAAAGTATCCATTACAGTCCAATTGATTGGTTGCCCTTGCTTGGTTGATTGAGGCTTCCACATTTTGCCATGGAAGAAGCCTTCTTGGGAGCCCCTTTTCACCGGACTCATTCACGTTCTCACGAACAGGTTCTGATCGCTTGCCAAAAGACGGTGTGCGTTTCGCTTTTGGAAGAAACCCATTTGTGAGACCTATTCAACGGGTCAACCTTCGCTTTCCACCAGACCCCGTTTGTAAACCAAACGGCGCTGTTGTGCTTACGTCCAAACCTTTCAAGCGAGAAGGGCGCTTGTCATGTTTATTCCTGAAACCTGAACCCTGCCAACACATGGTCAAACCCTAGCACCCTAGCATCTAGCATCCTTTCGGCGTGTTTGCTTGTGGGACCTGTTTTGCCACCCCTCCGGAAGGGTTCTCTTTTTCCACCATGATCACTGGGCCACTGGGTCAAGAAAATGGGTGAAGCCCTCAAATCGACTGCCGTTAGGCTGCCGGGAACCGTGTTTTGGCTATCAGGCCACGAAGCAAGTACATGTTCTTGCCGCGGGCTTGTTTGCAGGGCATCCCGTCCCTGTCCCTTGTGCCACTCAACCCGCAACTTCAAAAGCGGGTTTCTCCCGAGCAGTAGGTGTGTTTTACCCCGAGCTTGTTGTTCAGGTCCCAAAACTAGCAAGTTGAGAGGTGCCGGTTCGCAGGCAATAAGCGGGTGGGGCTTTGCGTGAGTGCGTCAGGTGGACATCATGCCCAAGGGTCGATACGAGAGCACTGAGAAGTGGACGCCTCAGAGTGGAGACCTGCCCCATATATCATTGTGGAATGGGGAATTTGTGCATTCACCCACGGAGCAGCTCTATGTCCAAATGAAATGCTTGCAGCTTCTGATGTTTTCGATCAGTTGTGTTGTTCACATGTGCTGCTTGATCAAAGGTGTCGCCACGGGACGGCTACTCCTTGGCTTTAATTATATGGGTGGTAGACAATGGCCTATATCGACCTTGATCTTCGTAGAACCAAAAGTCAACGCGTGAACCGGGCGCTGCTCTTTTTTTGTTTGTTTGAAAACCAGTGAGCCGACAGGTTCCGACTGATCCTGGAAGAGCCCACAGGAGGCGGGATCGAGATCCGAGTTTGGCCCTTGCATCTCTGATGTGCCTTACTTGGTGTTGTGTATGTGAAAGCTCTTGCGACGACATCCTTTGAAACTCAGTTGCCCGAAGCGAATCGACCTTTTGAGCTTTTGGTTTTCTTGGGTTGCTCCATTTTTAGTCATGGCTTCAAAAGGTCAACCGTCAATGTCTGGGTCCTTTGGGCAACTGAGGAAATGATCCAACGTGTTTAGGTTGGCAAAAAATGGGCCAAAATCGAACATAAGGTGCTTGAGGCATCTTGAGGCAAACGCTGAGATATGATTGTTTGATGTTTGCTTGTCAATGGTAGTGGGATACGGGCATGGAAATTCCAAGCATGCCTTGAGAGAACCGAATGCAAGAATCGATTCATAGTTCACAAACAACACTCCCCATTCTTTTGTGTGTGTGTGTGTGTCTGATGTCTTCCCCCGTTTCTTCCTGCTTATCCTTGCTGACGGACCGTGAACCGTGCCTGCAAAAGTGCGTTGGCTTATCCTTCATATTCTGTGCGAAGTCGTGCGCGTTGCCCTTGCCCCGCATGGGTCCCAGGTGCTTCCACATGTGCAGGTGGCCAGAATCCACCCGCGAAACCGGGGCCGGTTGCAGTGTGCAATGCCACCCTCGTTCTACTAGCCTAAGCTTAACCCCAAATCTCAAAAGGCTTGAATGTAGGGACAGCAGGTCGCCAGAAACGAATCCCAAAAACTCAAAATGACAAGGGGAGCCACAACTGAGCAACACGGCACAGCTTCCTTCTTCCAAAAGCGCCGTGAAGCGCCGAATCCGAAAAGCCTCCTCCAATTGGTTACTCGCATCCCGAGCCACGTTTCATTCCATCCTCCAAACGGGGGGCCTAAAGCTTTTCAGGTGCACCCGAACATTTTCCGTTTTTTTTTTGGTGTCCCTTTGAAGCCGACCAAACATGGGTTGCCCAAAACACAGGCGCGCCCACCGTCCCTTGGCTGCCTGCCAGGCACCAAGTTCGACTCGAGCACTGACGGTGGCCCGGACTCCTGCGTCTGCACGGCGCCGCGCTCAGCCGCTCAGCCCTTGGTTTTTTCCGCACTCGACGCCATGGCCCACGGTGGTATGTTCGCTTAAAGCATCAGCCGGACCAGGCAACATTCCATGCTTGTTTGTTGAGCTTCCCTTTGTCGCCAAGCAACATATTCCCTTGAAGACCTGCCAGCCAGCTCCCCTTAGAGCCAACCAACAATCCTGTTGCTTCCCTTGCCTCGGTGGTCTTGGTATTGCCTTGGAGACCAACCAACCTTGTTTGCGTTCTTATTTTTGTTTCCTTTTAAAGCCCATCAGCATTTCTTCTGTAAACCCTCGGTTTGTTGGTATCCTGCAAGCCAGCCAGCATTCCGTGAGGGTTGCTTGTGTAGATTTATCTTCAAAGCCAACCAGCACAAGAAAGGCGGGCCACTGGACAAACTAAGTTGAGAAAGGTCTTAAAAACTGGGCATTGAACGAGTGATCAGTGTCCTGGGTGCTGAAATTTGACTTGGTTTCCTCTCAAACCAATCAAGATTTCTTTTTTTAGGTTTCCCTTCAGAAGCAACCAAGGCTCCTGGCATGTGAAGTAGGTTTCCAATTGACACCAGCCAACAGTCCTCGATTTCTTTAGTTGGTTTTGCTTGGGACCCAACGCGGCTGCTTTGCGCAGTGGGTTCCCGTGTCAAAAACAGGAACCGCCCCTCCAAATAGTCGGTGGCCTTTAAAGGTGTCCCTTTAGACTTCTCGCGAAGCTAGCGCCGTTCTTTGCGAAGTGGGGTCGCCCGCGTTTGCCCGCAAGGGTGAGACAAACCCCTATACCCTAAAAAATGCACCGATGGGAAATGGGTTTCTGTGTCAATGTCCAGGGTGTCTCCTGAGATGTTCTGGCTGGGGGTAGCTGTCCAGATGAGCCCCTTGGACCCCGATTTGCAGCGGTCCACATCAAGCTGAGCAAACCCATCCCAGAGGTTGACCAAGCCGTCTCCTTAACGATTTTCCCTAGGCCATGCCAATCTTCAGATATCCATCGCTTGGTTTCTGGCTGCCTGTTGTTCATGATTATGTTCAGTTTGGCTGAGGTGTTCTCATCAATTCGAGTTCTGAGTCTGAAACCCTCAGGTCAATTGGTTATCTTCGGGTGGTTGGCAAAGGCGGCTTTGCCAATCCCTTTCCACTATCTAATGATCATGTGACCCTTAAGGGCTGTCTTTGCAAAGGGCGGCTTCGCTGATGATCGCTATGGGAGGCCCTACAATTTTGATAGTTTGTGTTTCTTGGCAATCAAAGGGATTGGCTCGTGGTGCACAAATCCCCATGCGGCCAAAGGAGATGCTCCCTACAGGGACCCTTGTCACCCTTGTCACCCTTGTCACTGTCACGGACCGAGGTGGTGAGGGGACCCCGCCCTCAAAAACAAAGGCATTGTGTATTGCTGCTTTCCCGGTAAAATGAAGCAATAGACCCCCCCAAACACACGAACTCAAAATGAATGGCTTTTGCCGGTTCAGCCAATGGGGCTCCCATGGGTTCCGCCTCCAAACTAAATTGACACACCCAGTACGCATGCATCATCCGTGCAGGTGGTGATCTTGGCGGACAACAAGAACAAGCCGCTGGTGGACAAGGTCGCGGTCTGATTCGGAGCCAAAGGGAGCTATGTTCCGAGTGGTGACTATTAAAGGCCAACAGCCATGAGAATCATTTGAGGATCATTGATGCGGCTCATTCCCCAGTGGCTGGACTTTGTACGTTTGGTTGCGGCAATTTTGGCAAGCAAACAGGTTGGACTTGGGAACTTAGCCTTCAGGAATCAGCGCTGATAAGATTTGAACCAGAGAGTCTGCGGCGGCATGTTGCCTTAAAGCCGGCCAAGGTGGGGTTTCGCTCCTCCATTTCATGCGGGGAACAAAGCAGAGACCAGTTGCAAAGGAAGGCTTTGGGAGCGCGCGCCGTGCCCTCTTCCGCACTCCCCTTCCGAGTCCCAAGCACTAAGCACAGCTTCTCCACTGGAGGTTTTGGGGGTCAGCCCCCAGGAAGGTGGAGGAAGGCAGCGAGGCGGCCGCCTTTTGCGGTCGACAGGTCCTGGCGACGATGTCCCCCAACTGGGACGAAGTGGCCCTGGGCAGCGCGGCGCGGGGCCCGAGAACTGGCCCGAACTGCTGTGGGATGAGCTGAAGCTGGGGACGCCCCAAGAACTGGGGGGGGGGGGGGCACCGCGAAAGAGGGAAGAACACATATGTAACATATGTATGTATGTATGTATGTATATGTATATATATATATACACGTGCTGACGTGCTGTTGATTTGGGAACAATTCCTTTGTGCAGGCGCATTTGCCACCCAGCCAGTTGGATTGGAGGCTCAGGAAAACGGGGCCGATAAGTTTGGATTTACGAGTTTAAGGGTTGGAACCACCTCAAAAGTGGGTGGTGGGCATGAATCCCAACCTAAATGGTGCTCACTAAAATGCTCAATTGAGATGGTTGGCAAAGCCTCTATTTGGAACAGCGCATTAGCAAGCCACCAAAACTTCCAATTGCTGAAGGTGTGCATGCTTTCAAGTCCTCCCCTGCTCGGCCTCAAATATACAAGTCAAAGCCGGAATCAAAGATGCTGTTTTGCGGCACCTTAAGCAATCCTTTAGAAAGATGCTGATGTGTTGCTTTGTGATCTAAGGGCCCCGCATGCACCACAAATACAAGCTGCTGCTCATGAATTGAATCATAATAATCCCCACCCCGTACATGTATTGGACAGGGGATCCAGTGGGGCACTTGTGGTGAATGGAAGGTAGTGTATATCCACTGGGGGCGCTAGCGGATTTCCAGTCGCAAGGTCCCAAATCTAAGGCCTTTATAGATTGCCAATCAGTTGTTAGTTTGATATGTTGGCAATTCCTTCATATTCATGTTCAGAATGCTAGACATGTCAGGAGTCAGGAGCCTCCATACGTACTTGCTACGTAGGTACATGCCGGTTTGTGGGGTTTGACACGTGACGGAAAATATGCATGGCAAGTGAGGCGGTTGACGGAACAACTGACCGGTGAAAGTAGATGGCACGGTTCTCCAATCCTTTTTGGGGGTCGTCTTAACAACCTCGAAGGAAAACCACCCATTTTGGGGTAGGTTGTTCTCCAGCTACTGGATTGGGTATTTGCCGCCGCTAGCCAGCAAGCACGCACCCTAAACCCAACCCTAAACTCATCCACCCTAAACTCCTAACCTACGTACCACAAACCTACCATTTGTATTTGTACCCTCCCCCGCCCAAACAAAGGAAAAGATAAGAAAACCAAGAAACGAACACTCATCTCAACCCCACCCTAAACCTCGTGACAAGTCCTCGCCCTTTCACAACGGGGCTCGTATTTTTTCTTCCCCCGACTCCATGGCTTCCCGCCAGATTGGGCGCTTTTCGCTCAGAAGGATCCTCCTCGACACTGGTTTGCACCTCAATCAACAAGAACGTTATGACTCCTGTTCTGATAGAGACCTAGACGCCAGCACCGCCACATGCACAAAACCATGGTATTCACAGTGTTTGTTTTTCCTTTTTTTTCTGGGCTTTGCAGTGCTAAAACTACATCCCAGGGAGCACCCCTTCTGTTCTGATATCACTGTTAAACAACATCCACAAATGACATCTAATAGCTACCTGGGAGCGAAAGGCAAGTAGTCCTGAAAACTGCTCCATTGCCAGTTGTTCAGGAAGCTGGGTCAAACAGTATCGGTCGAACCTAGATTTGCACAGTATCCTGTATCCCAAAGTCGACCAACTTGATCCCACTTACATCGTAACTTGTGAGTCCGCGAACTGTCAATCTATCTACGGAAACCAGCTGCAGGACACTATGGGAGCCCAACCTCTGGTTTTGGTGGGCATTTATTTGGCTGGTTTCCTGCAGCAGGTCATGCTCCCCTAAGAGTTTCTCAAAATGGTGGACGCCCTGTTGGTCGGTTTTCAATTGGGGGCAAACAGAAACCAACGTTTTAGTGGCCCCCTGTTTTGATAAGTGCCCATATGAACTATGCAAGCGCCTCGCCATCGCGAGCATCTCGCGTGAACAGGCATGGAAGGATCAGTTCATAGAGGCGTGTTACTGCCCGGCGTCCTAGAAACTGATGGGGGGAGGGCAAGGCGATGTTGGGCGGACCAATCAGTGGACCCCAAACCATCTATGAAGGAAGCCTATCAAGAAGAAAAGGCAGAAGGGTTTTTTGTTTGGATGTACCATTCCCAGAAACTGCCCCTGCGTTGACTCTACAATGGCTCAGTTCAGCATGTGGCTACCCCCCCTCCGAGTTTGCAGGGTAAAAGTCGGAGGATCACTTTCGGGCAAAGATTGTAAGGTTTGTTTGACAAAATTACCAGAAGTCTATGGTTCTTTTGGGACGGGTGTCCCACGAAAACCATCTAAACCACCTGGTTCCTTTCCCAGAACACCACGAGGGGCCTGAACTTCAAGCGAAGTCCCATGCTAGTTTTACGGCGAGAGACTCCGCCGCATGACCATAACTTGAAGTTCCCCTTGTGACTATTCCGGAGATTTGCCGTCTGTGCAAAGAACCAGCGGGCAGCAGCAAGAGTTCTCCTGTTCACAGGGAGGGGATACCTGCAAAGCCCAACCAGTTCTCACGTCTTGAAAGACATCGCAGCCAGAATCGCAGCCAGAGGCGATCGGGAGAAGGAGAGACTCTTCCTCCATGGAGGGCTTTGAGGCGGCATAGAAGAAAGGTTCGAAGAAGAAGCTCCCAAGGAAGGTCAAACACTCCTTGGGCGTGCCGACTAGCCAGTTCTTCTTGGAGGGCCAGGTTCTTCGTGATACGGTTTGTTTCATTTCGGATTTTATGGTTTTGCCCCACCCATCAGGATTTGAGAGTGGCGGCTTCGTGGGAAACACTGCCAGCTGCAGGAGCACAAATGACAACCACCAGGCGCTGTTTCCCGTTCCCCGATTGCAGCTGGGGAGCGACCCCCCTTGTTCAGAAATGTCCGTATGACTCAGCCAGCACTCCCTATGGTCAACCCAAAAAAGGGGTTCCCCTGTATGGCCAAGGTCACTAAACCACCGGTCTTCTTTCGGGTACCCGTTTTGGATGGTGCTGAAGGGAAACGGCAACCCAGAAAGGGCTGTGGCTCAAAAAACCGGAATTCCAAAATGGGTTGCCCGATCGGTAAGTGGAAAAACCTGGACCAAAACCTGCGGTTTGCCCCGATCGTTTCATCTTGAGCCACATAAGGCAACTCGAACTTAGGCGGCGGCAGCAAAGATGAGCAATGCAATGCCTCGTGGTTTGAGTTCGCCCGGCCCCAAGTCGGATCGGACGCAGGCCTCCAGGAATCTTCGGGCCAGGGACAGATAGGGACAGTGGCGTTTGTTGTCAGGCTTGGGTGCGTCTTTTTGTTGAGGGTCAGTTTGGGAGGGTTTTAAAGGGAAAAAAAGGAAACCCGCCAATCTTGAGAGCCCCCTATCTTGAGACAAACCCACTTATGCTTATGGTTAATGGCCCTGTGTTGGGTTTCGGTCCGGTTTTTTTTTCTAGCCACCGAGTTTGCAGAGTTTGGTCAATGGGTTGCCAAATTGTTCAGCAAGCTGACCTGAGGCTTACGCTCTGAGGTAGGCTTTCTTTGGCCAACCCACGAAACGGAAACGAGTTCATCGCATTCCGCAAGCGCGACGGAAGAGAGTTGGCCCGGATTATGATCCCGGTGCAGGGTGTTTTCCAACAGTGAAGGCTCTCCTCCAAATTGGGACCACCCCCTATAGGTCAATGAGGGCCGGGATAATGAATCTTGGGTTCCCACTAAGGGAAACCCCTTTGGAGGGATCAAGTAGTTTTTGAATGGGGTTCTTCCCCGCTGGAATCACAGGAAGGGTGATTGGCCAAGACCATGCTAGGGCCAGAGAGTGCGTGTCAGCCGGACAATGAATCGGGAAAGGCAAGCGCCCCCTGTGATAAGTAGCTATCATTAGCTTTTGCACCTCCTTGGTTGAACTCTGGGGGTCAAGCGGCTGGGTAGCATGCTCCCAAACCTTCGAAGGGGTTTGGGGTACTTCAAGAAAGGTTTCCGCTTTCCAGGCACACCTGCCCCCTTCTATCTGTCTGGGATGGCCAAGAGGTGCAACCCGCAACTTCAGCTTCAGGCCGCCTTTTGGAGGGTTTCACGCGCACTTGTTGTCGGGTTGCACGGGGCATGCATGCTACACTCATTGAACAAAGGCTACATTTTAGAAGGCCTGAGGCAAAAATGCCGTACGTCAGCAGTGCACCATGTTAGTCCGAAAAACCGAAGCTGCACGTCTGTGGTTTGTGCCATTTGCGTGGTTAACTGCTGGGGGAACTGTCAACCTACCTTCCCCTTCTTGTCAATCTGCCTTCCCTCTTCCATACACATTTTGGGAAGTCCAATCTGGCAAGGTTCCTGAGGATTGCGTTTTGAACCCCGCCACGTCCAGTAGGGAAATGCAAGCGTATCTACAAAAATAAGCCCTGTGATAGTGGCAACGATCCCGAAAGGCGATTCTTGCACCTGCCTCAAGCACCTGGGAATTCTGAGGCCATGCAGTGGGGTCCCTTTAGTTTCTTGTTGGTGGGGATGGTTTACACATCTCACTTTTGGGCCAGTACTTTTTGGGTTGATGTTTGCAGGGGGCAGGTGCCTCTGAATTTTTCCCCAAACAGTGTGTCTACACTAAGGGGTTCTTACGGTAAGAGAAAAGGCCTTGGTGCCAGATTGAGGTGCCCGCTCTGTCCGCGAGCGTTTTGCGTGGTATTTACCGCAGAACAAAGTGAGTTGGCGACTTCTGTCCGCGAGCGTTTTGCGTGGTATTTACTGCAGATTCGTGCCCTTGCTTGATGTCGAAGTGCGTTTCGACTGCGCAGGCTCGCACAAAGTGAGTTGGCGACTTCTGTCCGCGAGCGTTTCGCGTGGTATTTACCGCAGATTCGTGCTTTTGCTTGATGTTGAAATGCGCGCAGGCTCGCACACAGTGAGGTGTCGACTTCTGTCCGCGTGGTATTTACCGCAGATTCTTGCTCTTGCTTGATGTTCAAGTGTGTTTCGACTGCGCAGGCTCGCACAAACTCGATTTTTTTTGCTCCGGGGACCGTGGAGGTTTTGTCTCGTGGTCCGGCGGCACGGGTTTCCGGCGAAAGGTCCTGGGCTCGATTCCCGCCCTGTCCGCGCGAGCTTGTTTCCCTTTCGACGGCGTCTCGATGGTACTCTGAACAACAACGCCCAAAAACAGCAACAGCAACAGCAACAGCGCCACAATCGAGAACAAAGGAAGAAGCACTAACTCAGGCACCCTGGTGAAACAAACGCACAGATCTTGCCTTTTGTAGTGATGCTTACACACACACACACACACACACACACACACACACACACACACACGCACACGCGCACACGCACACACACACACTTAAACTCCAAATGGAGAGTGCTAATCTTTCGAGTACAACTGATGAGTCTCGAGTACAACTGATGAGTCTCGAGTATGATGAGCTTCGACTCGCATAACGCTTGGCTTCCCTGTAGCTACTTTAACAGGGACACCCAGAAGCAACGGCAGTTCAGGGGGGGGACCAAAAGGACATTCAGAACAACACAACCATCTCGGCAGGTACGTCTGACTGATCAGGTCAGATATCAGCGCAGGTCACGGCCCTCTTCGTTGGGTCACCGGTCGTGACTGCGGGTGACCCCCCTGCTGAGAAACCGAAAAGGTGGTGACAGGGCATTCTGTCACTCCGCACACACACGCCCCTCAATGAGGGGCGAGAAACACTTTTTCGGGGGGGAGAAGAAGCGCCCGAAAGACGGACGAAGACCCCAACAGAAAACAAACGGAGCAGGCACCCAAAAGAAACAGAAAGCCCCACGTTGGGTCTCCGCGGGCAAAACCCCAACCGAGAAACACGAAAAACAGGGGAACCCGAGTTTTAGGGTCACCGCCGAGGGCAAAAACCCCAAACAGCCCAGAAACCCTCCTAAACCTGGAAGACGACCACCACCGCAAAGTTGAAGACCGAGAAGAGGACCAGGCCATCCCTAGACGGGCGAAGAGGAAGAACAGGAAGTAGTTGGAAAAGGGGGGGGGGAGGAAACGAAGAAAGGAAGAGAGAAAGAGAGAAAAAAGAAGGAACGAAAGAAAGAACGAAAGAGAGAGAGAGAGAGAGAAAGGGAGAGAGAGAGAGAGAGAGAAAGAGAGAAAGCGTATTTAGGGCGTCGCAACCGCCCGGGGGGAAAAAGAAACAGGGTGCGTATTTAGGGCGCCGCATCCCGCCCGGGAAGAAGGAAAAACGAAGAGAGAGGAGGAGGAGAGAAGGAGAAGGGAACAGGAGAAAAGGGAAGGAAACGAGAGAAGGGGAGAAGGAGGGAAAGAGGGAAAGAAAGAGAGAAAGAAAGAAAGAAAAAAAAAAAAAAAAAAAGAAAGAAAGAAAGAAAGAAAGAAAGAAAGAAAGAAAGAAAGAAAGTAAGTGTGCGTATTTAAGGCGACGCATCCCGCCCAGAGAAACACGAGGACAAAGCCAATGCTCGAGGAAGAGGGCGTCGAATCCCGCAGAGGGGCCATGAGGAAGAGCACGATGAAGCAACGGTAGGGAACGAAGACGGCAAGCCAAACAGCGCGAGGGGACCGAGGACCACGAACAAATAGGCAAACAAGAAGAGGACGACGACGAAAAAGGCAAACAACGCGGCAGAGAAGAAGCCATCCCTAAACGGGCCAAGAAGAAGAACAGCAACACGCGGAAGACGGAAGGCCGGAAGAAGGAACGGGAGGAAGGAGAAGCCATCCCTAAACGGGCGAAGAGCAAGACGACGGACACGCGGACGACGAAGGTGAGGAGGGAGGGTGAGACGTCTCTATGATCTGACCGCTGTCTTCCTTTTAGTGAAACCTCGTTCCTGGTTAAATGTGAAATTCCGCTGTTCTATGATCAGCACGTTGAGGTCAAATTTTCCGACAGAGCCGGCCCGGGGTCACACAATGGGTACACCCGAGGATTCCCCACGAATGGGGTGTACACACTTAAACTCCAAATGGAGAGTGCTAATCTTTCGAGTACAACTGATGAGTCTCGAGTACAACTGATAAGTCTCGAGTATGATGAGGTTCGACTCGCATAACGCTTGGCTTCCCTGTAGCTACTTTAACAGGGACACCCAGAAGCAACGGCAGTTCAGGGGGGGGACCAAAAGGACATTCAGAACAACACAACCATCTCGGCAGGTACGTCTGACTGATCAGGTCAGATATCAGCGCAGGTCACGGCCCTCTTCGTTGGGTCACCGGTCGTGACTGCGGGTGACCCCCCTGCTGAGAAACCGAAAAGGTGGTGACAGGGCATTCTGTCACTCCGCACACACACGCCCCTCAATGAGGGGCGAGAAACACTTTTTCGGGGGGGAGAAGAAGCGCCCGAAAGACGGACGAAGACCCCAACAGAAAACAAACGGAGCAGGCACCCAAAAGAAACAGAAAGCCCCACGTTGGGTCTCCGCGGGCAAAACCCCAACCGAGAAACACGAAAAACAGGGGAACCCGAGTTTTAGGGTCACCGCCGAGGGCAAAAACCCCAAACAGCCCAGAAACCCTCCTAAACCTGGAAGACGACCACCACCGCAAAGTTGAAGACCGAGAAGAGGACCAGGCCATCCCTAGACGGGCGAAGAGGAAGAACAGGAAGTAGTTGGAAAAGGGGGGGGGGGAGGAAACGAAGAAAGGAAGAGAGAAAGAGAGAAAAAAGAAGGAACGAAAGAAAGAACGAAAGAGAGAGAGAGAGAGAGAGAGAGAGAGAGAGAGAGAGAGAGAGAGAGAGAGAAAGAGAGAAAGCGTATTTAGGGCGTCGCAACCGCCCGGGGGGAAAAAGAAACAGGGTGCGTATTTAGGGCGCCGCATCCCGCCCGGGAAGAAGGAAAAACGAAGAGAGAGGAGGAGGAGAGAAGGAGAAGGGAACAGGAGAAAAGGGAAGGAAACGAGAGAAGGGGAGAAGGAGGGAAAGAGGGAAAGAAAGAGAGAAAGAAAGAAAGAAAGAAAGAAAGAAAGAAAGAAAGAAAGTAAGTGTGCGTATTTAAGGCGACGCATCCCGCCCAGAGAAACACGAGGACAAAGCCAATGCTCGAGGAAGAGGGCGTCGAATCCCGCAGAGGGGCCATGAGGAAGAGCACGATGAAGCAACGGTAGGGAACGAAGACGGCAAGCCAAACAGCGCGAGGGGACCGAGGACCACGAACAAATAGGCAAACAAGAAGAGGACGACGACGAAAAAGGCAAACAACGCGGCAGAGAAGAAGCCATCCCTAAACGGGCCAAGAAGAAGAACAGCAACACGCGGAAGACGGAAGGCCGGAAGAAGGAACGGGAGGAAGGAGAAGCCATCCCTAAACGGGCGAAGAGCAAGACGACGGACACGCGGACGACGAAGGTGAGGAGGGAGGGTGAGACGTCTCTATGATCTGACCGCTGTCTTCCTTTTAGTGAAACCTCGTTCCTGGTTAAATGTGAAATTCCGCTGTTCTATGATCAGCACGTTGAGGTCAAATTTTCCGACAGAGCCGGCCCGGGGTCACACAATGGGTACACCCGAGGATTCCCCACGAATGGGGTGTACACACTTAAACTCCAAATGGAGAGTGCTAATCTTTCGAGTACAACTGATGAGTCTCGAGTACAACTGATGAGTCTCGAGTATGATGAGCTTCGACTCGCATAACGCTTGGCTTCCCTGTAGCTACTTTAACAGGGACACCCAGAAGCAACGGCAGTTCAGGGGGGGGACCAAAAGGACATTCAGAACAACACAACCATCTCGGCAGGTACGTCTGACTGATCAGGTCAGATATCAGCGCAGGTCACGGCCCTCTTCGTTGGGTCACCGGTCGTGACTGCGGGTGACCCCCCTGCTGAGAAACCGAAAAGGTGGTGACAGGGCATTCTGTCACTCCGCACACACACACACAAACACACGCACACACGACCATGGCGCTGGCTTCGACACGTGTCTGCTGCATTCTCTTGCGCGTGTCTGTTCCAGGCCGTGTCCTTGTCTTTGTGAATGTGCGCGCAAATGCCGCAAAATGATGTTGCAGCTTCCTGACAGCAACCGCCGTTTTGCGGCGCAGCCCGCACAATACTCTGCAGCGTGTGACCGCCGCCTATCACTGTTTGGGGTCTCGTGCCGGGGTAATAGAAAGCCCTCCAAAATGGTTGGCGTACATCGACCTGCAAAAGGTGCACAAGGGGTCCAGCCAATTGGAATTCACACCCATATCAGGAATCCTTTTTCCATCCTCAGGCAAACGTGCCGCAACCCTTCAAGACAACCTTTTGCTTTTCCCAAGACGATCCCAGGAACTACATCTCTTCAACAAGCACCTTAAAATGAGTAACCAAAACACCAAATGAGAAGCTTTAATGCCAAAGGGCGGAATCGTCTCATGCCTTTGTTGGAGACATATTGGACATCTATTAGGCGGGGTTGACGGCAACCCGCGGATTTTGGGGGTCGCTTGTCGGGAACGGCAGGCCTTTGAGAAATGTATTGAGGGCCCCCCCCCCCCCAAACCAAAGGGAGAATCCAGCATCATCCCACACCAACTGATTGCTACCACATCCCAGTTCCATTCGAGGTGCTGCACGTGCTGTCTTTGCCCTGGAAGATGATCTTCGCGCTGGTGCCGCCCACAGATTTCTGCGGCGGGTGGCCGGGGGCCCCATTGCGCGCGGTGTCCAGTGCGAGGTCCGCACAGCCATGGCTTGGTTGGAGGGGAACGGGTGTTTGGTTGAATTTGTTAGGTTGTGTCTGTTTTCCGCTTTCTTTTTTTTTGGGGGTTGGGATGGGAAGATCTTGCTTGGATTGGTTTCGGCTGTTCTTTTTCGAGGGGGGGAACATGTGTCTCGCGTTGTTGCGAGGGGAAATCAAACCAACATGCATGTTCAGCTTGTTGTGAATTGAAGGGAAGCCAAGGGAAACCAGGCTGATTCGAGGGTTCTCTTTGGCTGATGCCATGACTGAGACCAGGGGTTCGGTGGCGGATAAGTGAAGGCTCTTTGCTGATTTGACATGTTGCTTCAAATCTAGACAACAAGTTAGTCGGGACTTGTTGATTTCGCGTTGGACGTCCGCACTTGAACCGCACCAAAACGGGCCCCGATGCGTTTTCACACGCGCTATCAGCAACACCCAGCACAAAAGTACTCTTCAGCTGGTTGACCCTGTCGCAGGCTTGGACATGGCTGAAAGTGCAATTGGTTGTTTTTGCAAGTGATGAGTGGGGGAGTCCAGAAGAAGGGCCATTTTATAGGTTTTTGCCTTAGGGAGCCGAAAACAACTGCCCACTGTGCGCTGTCCTATTGCAGTGCTGCGGCACTTGGGCAAGAGTCAGCCTGTGAATTCATGGTCGCCATATGTTGCCCACACACGTTAGAGAACAGACCGTGTGATTCTGACGCGAACCCACCTGTTAGCTTCAGTTTGTTGGAGCCCAGGTTTGGCTTCTGTTTTGAGTATAACATTGCAAGGCAGTCACCTTCTAATCAAACAAAATTCTTTGTCACGCAAGTGAGGCCTGAGAATGCGAATGCCAAACGCAAACTGGCAGACTAAGTGCTAGCAAGCCCATGTTTAGTCGTTCCCTGCAAGAAAATGGATAGCAACGGAGAACATTGAAAAGGCCTCGGCTGTGGGGACTCTCTTGGGGTTTTGCAGGTTGATGAGTACCACCCATGTTTGGGGGACCAAGTTTGGAGACATAATGTCTTTTTTTCTCTAGTGCATATGTTTGCAGTGGGGCAACGGCCTCATTTGTGGTTTTGTCATGCACTATGCTCAATGTTTACTGGGCAAATATTTGCTAGCAGTTCCCTACCATCATGAATAATGTGGTTCTAAGGGGCTCAACCTCATTCTAATTATCTTAGGCCCTCATTTTGCCCGAAAGGGAATCTACTTTCATGGTACTTTTCCGTCGCAGGTCTCGCGGCCGTCGATTCTCAGCCCAGGCTTTGCTTCTTCATCGCACTCGCCGGGTGCCGAGCACAATGTAGAAACCTCTTGCTCCGAATGGGTCGGAATGCAACTGGAACAGCGGGGAACCCTGTAGTCAATTTTCTCGTTTGCGCTTCAGCTGGATCTTAACCTATCTGCGAACAGAATCCATGGCAATATCCGAGGGCGCTTCAAGGAAGCCCGCAAGAATCCGATCCCTAGATCTTCGTGGTGTTTGACGGACGGAGGATGACGGTGCGGGGTTTTGGGTCCCATATTGAAGAAGATGTGAAGCACCATTTGAACAACCTGGTCCCCTTGGATCAGGGTTCCCGACATCAAACATCACCATGTGGGCAAGTTAAAAGTGAGTTTCCTTCTGGCGGGATGTGGGCGACGTATACAGTAGCTCACCCGTGATGAAGGTTCTTTTTATAGCGACCCCTCTTGGTGAATGGTTCTATTTCGCAGCAGAGGGGAGCGTGTGGATTTCTTGCTAGCTTATGGCCTCAGCCATTCAGGCTATGATCGGGTGTGTGACCATCATCATCGGGGACCTGGCGTCGCTTCTGGGCTGTTCCATGGAGGCACGGCAGAGAGGCGGTCTATTGGATAAACTGGGAGCTCACCTGTCCCCGAATGAAATGTATTATGGTGAGGGGTCCCGGTCAATACATCCAGTCTTTGGGTCCCCCCCTTCATCTCCACTTCCCATGACTTCCCTCGGTCAAAAAAGGCCTGGATATGGAACCAGCAGGCTAGCATCAAGGGTTCATTCTTCATCCTTCTCAGAAACCACCCAGTTTCCTCAGCATAATTATGGCCGTTTGCCAGAAATTTGTTTGAGAAGGATCCTTGCGAACTGGAGATGAACTGACAGCTGATGTCCAGAAGCCAGGAGTCCCATGCCACTGCTTGATCCAACCCGCAGGCCCGAGCCTGGCCAAATGGATGGCCCACTCCACTTTGAAAATGCGGGAGGTTGCTACTCTCTGGTCCCAAAGTAGGCAAGGGTTTCTATTTGACTCCCCCTTCCAGAAGGAAGTCCGAATCCTATTTTGAGGTCTTGCTCATCTCTTTTGGCGTGCTTTTGGACCGCAGATCTCGGACCTGCAGACGGCCATTACGCTGGTGGCCATGGGCACTTCTTTGCTCCGCGCTCAGCCAAGCTGTGCGGAGGTACCCCAGGCCCATTTGACCCGAGCGATTTGTTTGGCCGTTGAAAATGGCCCCTTGAAAATTGCACCATCCACCGACGCCTTGGGGCGGGACATGGGATTCTAGCGCCATGGGGATAGAGGACTTCCGCCATTGCAGGTTTCTACTAAGGGAGTGACCATGGCCCTCAGTTTTGACCATACCCATGGCAAGCCCCCAGCAACCCAGCAGGGAGGGGGGGTCTCTGCAAAATGACTTTCTGACGCTCATTTGTCCGCATTCCGAAGAACAGATTTATCAAGCGACGATGTTAAGAAGCACGATTATTTTAGAGGTTCGCGTTGGAAGAGTGGCAGAGATATAGTCATGTGGTTGTGATCACACACATGTAAGATTTGCCAATCTAGTGCTATCTAAAGCAAATTATAGCGAAGCAGTAGCTACCCTTCCTCTCACTAACATTGCATTTGTTGGGAGGCACCTGGAATATCAATTTCCTCTTCAGGAACCCCCTGCCATGTTAGTGGGAGGGAGTGTTGTGGAATTCCAATGCTGTAGATATGGTTCGTCCACCCGCTCTCAGGCCCGACACCTTTGCGTCGAGGACGGCTGCCCGACAGGACAGAAGGGTCTGCTGGGGCCAATGCTCCTGGCGGCGGCGCCGGAGGGCGCAAAGTCCATACGAAGTCAGCCCCCCTAGGTAAACCAATGGGGTCAAAACTAATGGGATCCCATTTTGGGGTAGGTTTAGTCTATTTCAGTGGGGATTGGGATGCTCACTGGGGGTACGGGATTTTGACCCATGGCCACATAAGCAAAGATGTGCCATCTATGTTCACCCTGGAAGGACTCTGTGGCTACGCAACCTGAAAGCGTCAAAACAGTCGCAGTGGCACCAGCAGGGCAATGACCCTGCGGCACGCTGTTCCCTTGATTGGTTCCCCACAAAACATGGTCAATTCCAGAAAGGCTAGGGTCATTGGGCAACTGCGAGAGGTTGGGGCGTGGGGACTCCCGACCCACATGGCACTGTGGGGGTTTTGGCGTGGCATCCTGCTGATGGAAAGCGGGTGTGATCAACTCGAGCTTTTTGAATGGCGAGGACGAGTACGCGGATGCCAGCATTGGAAATGCTGCTTCCTTAGCGGGCGGTGGGCTGGGAATTCAGTCCCCGGCTCCCTGAAAGTTTAAAGTCCCTCACACCAGAATATGGGATGGGAAATATGTGTTCAACAAATGTGGAAGAAGGGGTTATCGGACCTGTGTGCGCGTGTGTTCTCTCCTTTCTCGGCCTTTTTGGAGCGGCACCGATGAAGGAAGGCGCGGAGGCTTACCGAGCTGAAGCGTAGGGGGAGCTTTAAGGAGGATCCGGCCAGACCTGGGAATTCCCAGCAACAGTGAAAGGTCGTCCAGCCCGAGTGGTGCAGGACGACGTTTGCCTGCAACATTATGATACATTATGACCGTGCTGGCAAGCAAGCCTGGTAGCAACCCCGCAAGCAAGCCTGGCAGCCACCCCATGATGTTTCGCGCACAAGAATTGACAGCCACATGCCACGGCAAGCCTTTTGAAGGAACACATTGAAAACAAACACATTTAAAAGCGGCAGGAGCCAAATAAACAGTCCAAGCAGTGAACACATAATATCAGTGCAGACGTGTTGCACAATGCGACTTGAGCCAGGAGAAGCAAACCATGAAGGACATGCTGGTGACACGAGCTTCCTTAAAGGTCGGGCGGTTTTTTGAAAAGGGGATCCCAGTGGGGCTTTCCCTCGCCAGCCAGAAAAGCGTGCTCAACATGGCTGGTCCTTGGTGTGGCCTTAGCCCTTGAGACCGGTTGGAATCCTCTTGTGACAGATTTCCCATGTACGAAATTCTTTAATATCATGATCATTCAAACACAGATAACAAGCAGACAAATCAAATAAACCACCAACCACCCAAATTGACCTTGATCGACCCTTTGCTAGGGGTTGACAAGTCAGTCAAAGCTTCGATCGTCGAAAGGTTACTGGCAGCAACTCCGTGAACGTCTTCCTGGGCATTGGCCTCCCGTCCGGACCCAAGCACCTGGGGTTGGGCCAAGTGGGCTGGAAAGTGGCCTTCGTTTTGCCCATCCTTGACCCCTCTCCCAGCATGCCTTGTGAATAGCATGGCTTGTGGATTTGAACCAGCGAACAGTTTGGGAAGGGGAGCCAGCGTTTTCATTCCAGCTCCTGGGTCGTGCGCTCTACCATGCCATGCAAGGGGCCCCAGTGAAATCGCACGCCAGCCCCAAAGGGCAAACTTGGGCACCTTGCGCAGAGCAGCTGGCAGCAGTTTTCACGAGGTTTTTTGCGGAAACACAACATAAATAACACTGCAAATCCAAAGCACTCATTTTGTGGAAGCTTGTCTTGCGACCTTTCGGGGAAAGCTTAGTTAACCCAATGCTCCGCACAGCAAGGGGCAATCCCTTCCTGCTTTTCGGAGTGTGGTGAAACCTTCCGAGTGCTTTGTGCACAGAGCCACTTGTGGGCGGTGCCCCAGAAAGAAAAGAAAGCAGACATCAGCAGCTGAATTTGGGCTCTTGTTGACGATTGTCCGCCAACTGGTGAAGTATCCTTCCAAGATGGCAAAATGGAGTCGAAGATGACAACATGGAGTCGGGCAAACAATCAGGTTGCTTTGCTCGGGATTTTGCAATAAGCTTACTGAGCTGCGTCCAGAGCCATACTCCTACAAGCTCGCCGCTTCGTTTCCAAGGGTCCCGGAGAACACGGGATTGGCTCCCCCAACGGAATCTGAGGAACCGATGAAACGCGTGAAGCGCTCCGTCCCTGTTGAAAATCTGACGGGATGACGCACGTAGCACACCATGTGAAAGTCTTTTTTAAAACGGGTCGCGCCAGGGGGATTCCGATGATCTGATTTGTCCACGCGCATTTGGGGCTCCACCCCCGTTTTCCCAGTGGTTTTCCTCCGGTTTTGCTAAAACCGAGGTGGATGATCGGGGCGATTTATTGGAAGTCGCAGGGTCCCACCGCGGAGTGGGTCACCAAGTACCCTGGGCCCTTGCCTCAGTGAGCAGCCCATGGGCAAAGGATGTTGTTTGTTTGGTCTTTCTTGGAGCGAAGAACTCAGGTTGCAAACTCGCGTATGTGCGTTCAACATACCCTCACGTCGAAGCGATTTTCTAAGAGCTTTCTGCTTTCAAGGAGTCTTTGTTTTGGTTGAGCAGCTGGTTGGATTTGCCGAGCTTTAACTCTGCAGCTGCAATGTCAGCATCAGCGATGTACAAGAACCGCATCCATATCCACAGGGTTCTCCACACATTTCCCCAGTTGGCAAATGGACGGCAATATATTGGCGGAGAGGTGTATACCATTTAGTGCCAGCACAATAAATTTCGCTGGGGCTTGCAAGATTAGAAGATGGACCAAACCCCCAACAAGAGGGCTAACCGCCCCTGCTTTTGCATTCTGCGTCGTTTTGGCCAAGCGGCACAACTCAACCTCATAGTGTGCATTTGACATTCCGGCGTTTATATTTCTTCTGGATTTCAGCATAAAAGTTCTTCAGCGAAGACGTCGCCAGACGTAGAGTGAAACGGCCTCTCTCAAAAGGCTTGGATTCGTTGCTTGAGGATGAGATGCCTCGATGTCCAAGATTTGAATTTGTGAATTGCAGAACAAAAGCTTTGGGAAGCTTGGCTATTGGGAAGCAGGTCAGAATCATGAACATCCTAACTTCCCAAAGATTGTTCTGCAAACCCACCCTCCGAGTTACTTTACCTCCAACAATTTGCTTAGAATTCAACCATCATCTTCAAGAGGATGGTCAGCTACTTCCATGCTTGCAAGAGGGTTAAGTTTGTGAAAGACCGGCAGTATCATTGTTGCTGTAAACAGGGCTGACCGTAATTTCAGGCGATAATTGAAATTTTTATTTAAGTGTTGCCTTCAAGCTGTTGAAGGCTGGCAAGATTATGACAACGACACGGAACGAAGATGCAGACGCGGTTTGAGGCAAGCAATATTTTGGATGATGTTTGAGTCATTGCTGGCTGATTCAATCGGTGCCGATGCGCGAATTCGTCACCAAACCAAGCTTTGGCGTTCTTGACCCACAGCCGGTGTTCCATCCCCAATCCTCATTTATGCATCGCCCAATATCGCCCACCATATCCCTTCTTAAGCTTGCTTGTTCCCCCCCAGAAATGCGATTCAGGATTCCTTGTGTCAGCTGGGCAGAGTAGTTGCCTCTGCGCCCACGAGCTCTCCTGTTCAGCTCCCAAACTTTGAATGTGCTGTCGGGTGCTTTCTTCGTTCTAGAGCCAAAAGGTTTTGCCTTTTCCAGCTTCGCGGGGCAGTCAAACGCCTAGCCCCGGCTCCTGACGCACCCTCCGCACCTCGATGTTGCGTGCTGCGCTTCGTTAGGATGCTGGCAATCTATCCGGACGGGGGCTTCATCGCCGGAACCTGAGCTGTGAAAACCCCGGGCTTGGAACCAAATGGCAACAATCCCCTCTCCAAGTGAACATGAAGCAGACTGAAAAGGCCTAAAAGCAACATGAAGCCCAACAAGGTAGAACATAAATGAGTTTTTGTGGGGGTCCGTAGAGATGTTGCCTGGGGAATGTTGCATATTAGAGGCTTTGGCCCGCCGAATGGATTCTTTGCCATGGTTGACTGTGAATCGCCTTGTCCGCCATACATCCTCTTGGCGTATGCGGGTAAACAGAGCCCAGGAACAGGTAGCAACGCGGTGTAAAACGAGAGTGCAACATGTTTCACAATGAACTTCACGGAGGGCATATGAACTTGGCCAGTTGCACGGTTCAATGCTTTACCCGACTTGTCTCGTCGGCAAGCTTACCCAGCTTTGGGTTGGCTTCGTCATCATAGTGAAGGATGACCATTATTGCGGTATTTTGAATCAGGCCCAACTGGAAGCTCCCTCAATGAAGCTTCTTGGCCCGTCATGGCCTGCTAGCTTTGCTGCCGCTGCTCCGTCGCGCGGCCGCACGCTCGAGGTGCAGTCTGGTGGCCTCGCTTTCAGCGTGGCTGCCGCTCGGGATGAAGAAACATGTTTTGGGCGGGGGGAGTTGGTTGGGCTCTAAGTGCGTCCAAAATCGGACGGATCGGATCGCTGATCGGCACATGATTGATTCCGTCTTTTCGGAGCCTGTTGAGGTGTTGAGGTCACCTGAGTTGGGTTCCGGGGCCACTGTGATTGATGCCCAGGCAATCCCTTTTTTCGAGTGGCAGTGTAGTTGTGGGGGTGGGGATGGCCCATGTTGACGTAACGGAAAGTTGCATCCCACAAGTACGGCCCAACATGTGAACTTTGGATTCAATTGGGGGCCATACTCATCATAAGAACCCGCATGTAAAGGATGGCATTCACCACGAAATTTGGAACCAGCAAATAGCAGCCGTAGCATACTCCTCCATCCAGACCAATCCGAAGTTTATGTATTGGATGCTTTCCCTCGAAGGAGTCAGGGATGGATATGTGAAATCCTTTTTGCCCACCACATCTAACCGTCAGGCTGTTGAAAACATGGCTGCCCTCTGCCTTCCACCTAGGAAGGCTGCTGGCTGCAAGTTGAGCTTTTTTCGACAGGGCGAACAGCCGAACAATCCAGCGTTTCCATGTGGTTCCCCCCCAAATGATGTATATAAGTGATGTATGGAATCGGGGCGTACCATATGGTGGCCTCCTATCCTAAAGTGGGTTCAAAGAAGATCCTTAACTTTGGTCCACCAACCCGCGCAGAACTTTCACGGGGGCAAGCCAATGGCCCATTGATTGCATTGGTTGAGGCTGCTGGGTGAATACCATGTTAGGTTGCACATGGTTGCACTTTTCAGAGGTTCACATGGAACCAACACAATATATGAATTGTAGCGGCATCTCCTTCTGGGGGCACCCCTTTTGGGGTTCTGGGGCTGGAGGATGGGACCGGCTGGTAGGACCGGCTGGTAGGGTGAGGTCACAAATCCCTCGCTCGTGGGCAGCGCGCGAGTATTGGTAACTCTTTCACTTCCCTTAGGTTCTTTGAGTTTTTGCGAAGGAAGAGACATCTGCTCGCTTCGCGTGAAGGAAGCCAAGCAGTTTAGAGGCATCCCATCTCGAGAAGCCACGCAGAGGGGCACGAAGCGCCTGGATTTCACTGGCAGCCTGCCCAGCATGGAACCCACCAGAAGATTAGAGGAACATGGTCCAGGGCCCCCAGGAAGGCAGGTTCTCTTTTAGGAGGATAAGTGCACTGAGACCTTGTTTCAACCACTTCCCAGCCCTCATAGGCACCTTCACTCGTTCAGGAGGTCAGCCTTTGCCCAGGTCTTTTCTTGTTGCGCCGTCGTGTGCTTTGCAATCCTCATCTTCCGCCCGGGCACCCGGAACCTTTCGCCCGGCAGTTCCTGACAACCGGTCCAGGGGAGGGAGGGAGGGTCCATGGCTTATTAACCCCTCAATCACTTGCTAGCATGCCAGACGATGTCCAATTTTTGGGTCTTGCCCTCTTGGGTCTCCTTCCCCCTTCCTTTCAACCAACAAAAGTTTAACTTTTGCAGGGGGTCTAAATTTGGCCCAGTCATTAAAATATGATCCTAGGGCAAATCCTGGCCTCCACCCCCAAATAGTTGTGGTTGACGCCGGGGTGAACCCCCACCCGGTGAAGCATGCTGAAACCTGTGGTGTTTTCAGTAGGCACGCCTCTGACAAGGACTCCCGAGGCTGCCCTCGCTAGTCGCTCCTTGTGATGTGCGTGTAGGCGATCCAACCTTTTGCAACTCCACGCTTCTCTTCGCTCCGGCGACCTAATGGCCCCCAGCCTTGTATTTTTTTGTTGACAATGGGCTGCAAACAAGAAAGACGATGTGCTTGGTTTTCAAACTGACGAATCAATGAACCCAGGGCTACCAAACCCCTGTTTTTTTTTCATTCGGGTGCAACATGAGTGGCTTGAACATGTGGTTTCTCTTGTTGTATTGTCGTCTCACTAAGATTAGGGCTCCCCACATGTTGAGCAGGTGAAAACGAGCCCATGGTTAAGGTTCTCACTTGAGGATCCAAATCGTATTTTAAGATTTCCTTCTTTTGGGGTAGAACCAGACGGTTGGACATCTAACTTCGCCCTCCTGCCAACTAACATGGAACCCACGAGTCCCAATAGGGAGAGTCGTCTTCCAGGACCCGAGTCAGCCAGGTCCCATGTTATTGGATGGGAGGGAAAGCCTTCAGTGCCAGGCCGCGCCAAGTTCGGTGGAGAGCTCGGGGGCACCAAGCCCATGCAGCCGGGAAGCCCAGGAGTCTGCCGATCCCAGTGGCGAATTTTGCTTGGGTCGAGATAGGGGTTCGGACCCCACTTGCGATGTTCCGTAGAGATTTGTTGAAAGCAACCTGAAAAAGGTGCCAAAAAGACACCACAACTAGCCCCGATTCGGCCCCCGCGCAACTGAAAGGTTGTGAGAACCGGTGGGGAAAGCAATTGAAAGGATGGGTCAACCCTCGTTCTAGTCTGGCACCCGTTAAATCCCCTTTGGCTGAAATTCGGTTGGATCTTTACTCTTTCACCCTTTGGGAGATATGTTTGGTTTCCCGCACTAACCCGACTTTTTGGGGCGACAGCCAAGTTGCGGTCATTCCCGAACAGGGCGCTGGGCTGCAACTGAGGTACTTGTCCTGGGGCGCTCTTGGATGCCTATGGGTCCTGCCCTTAACGGATCGGAGAGGGGTGGAAAGGCAACCAGCATCATAGGCGTTCATTTGTCACAATGAGTGCAGGATCTTGCCCTTGTACCGTAGTGGCCTTAAGAGTGGTTTCTATTTTGAGCGAACCTCAAAGAGGTTTGGGGATTTTGAGGGGTCCAAGGTTCAGAACGCCGTTTTGCTGGATGAGTTCATGCTCCCATGAAGTTTTTTGGTGGAACAACACCCAAGCATATGCTGATTGTTTAAGCCTCATTCTCAACTTCCGCGAGGCTATTTACATCGTCCTCTCCATTGTGTACGACGCGACAACGACGACAGCTTGAGGCCGGTGAGGGTCACCGCACCAACTGGAGGGACCGGTCCCTTGCGCGGCAATAGCATGGCGACACTGCCCTTGCCATTGAAAGCCCCTCTTAGAACTGCGTGGCAGGTGCTCCTAGCCTGTTGGGGTCTAGTATGGCATTTGCTGGTGGCAGGGTTTATTGGAGTCTGAACCCTCTTGGAAGGCGCGCCCAATTGGGCCGGTTTTTCCAATTTTGCGAGTAACGCCTGGAATGAAGGATTTAAACAGATTGTAGACAGAGTGCGTATGTTTTTGTTTTATGCTTTTGGCGTTGCGCTCAATCTGTTTGACCCCAAGTTGATGCCGGCGCACTGAAACCGGCGTCTTTCCAAGCGAGAGCCAGTGCCAGCTCTTGTCCACTGTTTCCAGTCTGTAAACCCCAGGTCATGCAGCTCTTGAAATCATAAGCACAGGCCCAAAAGGTCTGGTTGTGTTGATGAGCCAAAGGGGTTTTGCCATGAGAGCGTTCACACATCGCTGGCCGATGCCATGCAGTTGGCAGTGCGAATAGACTCAAATGCCACCTGCTTGCTCAGCTTCGGTGTTGGGATTCCGGGGTTCGCTCCTTCAAAGCGTGGGAGGCAGGACATGGGTTTACCAAAGGCTTTTGGGCTCGGGGCACGGGCTAAGGTTTGTTTTGGCGGCGGAGATGGGCTTTTGAACAGGAATCGGAAGAGAGCCGACTCATGAAGGTCCCTTTCCAGACGGCATCATTTCAGGGCGAACATGTATATTCATTCAATACTTGAAACATTGTGACACCCACGCCTGATTGTATCCGGCTTGCATGCCCGCTGCTTGCGTGCGGGTGTGTGTGTGTGTGCAAGAGAAAGGTAGGGGCTGTGCGAAATCAATTTCTTCGTACCTCCTAATACAAGCCCCCACGTTTGGACACCGATAATCTCAGAAGGGTGCAGGAAGAAAACATAAAACACGGAATCGCAACGGATCTCAGGCAAGGCCGTTTAGAAGCCATCGTTTGCAAAGCACCCTTGACCATCGCCAGATTTAGTAACTAGCATTGCTTCGGAGCACATGGAGCTGTTTTCTTTCAGAGGTCTCAACCAGTTTTGCGCCAACCATTGATGTCCAAAGCCCAACCCTCCTGAAAATGAGCGAGCAACCCCAAGAAGGCAACTTTTCCCTACAAGGAGCGCCACCTTGGATGCCCTTTTGGTTCAATCCTGGAATGCTTCTATTTCAGAAGTCCTTTGTCGCTTGGCTGTTTTTTTGCTTGGTAGGGCGTTGCCACCTGAAAGGGCCCCAGTTGCCCCCAGTTGCTTGAGGGAGAAGGCTAAAAGGTATTGGGCCAAGGGTCACTCTTTGGCCCCCTGACTTGACAGCTTGAGGCTTGCCGCTTTGAAATAACTAGGTCCAGTGTTCCCTTTTACGGTTTCTTTTTTGGGGCAGGGTTCCCCTACTTGTTGGTACCCTTGTTCTAGCCTCTCTACTGGAGGCCCTAGATAAGCTTTGGGGTGATATCTGAATGAGATTCCGGGATCGAGCGACCATTTCTGCGAGGTTCGTAAGCAGCCTCTTCGTGAGCGTTCGTATCACCACGGGCGGTCCTGGGCACTTTGCTCCAGCCCACGATTAGCTCGCGCCAAGTTTGACAGCATGTTTAGAATCCTGCAACTTGCCTCACCTTCTAATTCCATGGTGCCAATCCATGTCATAGTTTGTTTCGCCAGTCGCTAATCCAACATGTATATGGGCACAAGGATGGCATAGTTATGGCGATGGTTTGAATTCCATAGGATGGCCCTGGTCCGGGTTTGCAAGATATTCCTTCCCAGTGCATTTTCGGAGATCCTTATTTTTGATGTTTCGAGAGATGTGCCCTTGCACAAGGGCCGCACGCATTTGGGGATTCAGCGGTGATGATCCATTTTCTTCACCCAGTGTTATCTTTAGAAACCACCCCAAGAGAGCGTCACATGTTTAACAAGAAGGATCCCTGAAGAGAATGGGCGACTTTCGGCTAAACCTTGGCAAGTGAGTCTGCCAGTCAGTGGCAACGTCTTGTGGGCGCGATCTCCCGGCAAGTGTTGTTTTCGCTCCACGGAGCGCGATCGCGGGGTCGCGACGGTCCCTCCAGAGCGCAGGGAAGGAATAACACAAAAGGCATCCAGCCTTCCAACATGTTGGGTATGTGTGGGGCGGTTGGCGGCAGGAGGCAGGGGTGTTGCTTTCTGGGTTTTGCTGTTCGCTTTGAGCTTTTGGTTCGGAACTGGATTCAATGCAGGACGAACTGCAGCCTCAAGGCTTGGGCAAGCATAGAGGTGAGCAACTCCTTACAGAAGACTGTCTATATTATCAAAACCAAGTCCTCAAGCTTGATGTGTTTCTATCTTCCGCAGTCAACCAACAGCTTGCAGCATACAAGCACCCAACTAGATGCTTCAGCCAAGCTCATTGCCTTTGGAGGGAGGGAATGCCAAAAAATTTTGGGCCGCGCCTTGCGGCATCTCCTTGCCCAACGAGCCCGCACTTGGAGCACACCAAATGGGGGTGTGGACGCGTGGCGAATCTGACCCTAGACTACTAGATGGATTGATTCCGACTGTTGCCTGCTCCCAGCAGGACACGCATGCACCTCTCAAGCGGCAAAGGAGCTGTGCAGCCGTAATACCAGTAACACATGCATGCATAAGGTGCGGAAGGGTGATATTTCAGAGCACGGTTTTACGGGCGCCTGATTGCTTTCCTTGCCGCAAGTGGCCTAGTTTGTGGGAGCCCAGCCACAAAAGGCGACCGAAATTGCCATAAGCTTGGGAACTGTCTTGACAAGGCACCAGAACCGTTGCCATTTTAACTTGGAGGTTCCAACAGCACTTGCCTTTCCACAGGCCCGCTTCGGATTAAGAGCCTTTGTACCATTTATACCTAGTTTCTCCTGACATGCGCAACAGTTGACAGGGACGTGTTTGCACTGGGATGTAGGTTTTTTGATTTCCGCGGCATGGCGTCATGGCGTTACATCCCGTATTTTTGGTGAGCCCAGCGGTGTGTGGCATGACGGCGGTCGGCCAAAGGCTGGCAATGCCCTCAAACGTGAATTTCAGGTTCCACAGGCACTTCCCCGGCCGTTTGGGCTTGTGTAGCTTGAGGCTCCTTTTCGGGCTGGTGTAAATGGAAACCATAAAGAATCACCGAAATTCATGTTGGCGGTCGAAGCTTTTTCCACGAGCCGCATACCAGAAAACTGCAAAGATCCAGATAAGACACTCAGAGGAGGAAGCCAGGTGCCTGAAACGTTCCCGCCTCCTGCTTGCTGCAGCAGGACGCTCTTTGAATGCTTCGGATGCAAGGAAGCGGAAGTTCATGCGTTTGCACAATCCAATCCTGTAGTCCGTATGAGACCTTGGTGACATTCAGTGCCACCTCCGGGAGGAGTCCAACAAAGTCGACAGTCCCCTTGCCATGTCCTGCAATATGTTTTGTCTAAATTGCTCGGTGGCTTTTCTGGAGAGCTTGGAGCCAACCCACGAAACCCGCACCAAAACGGGTTGGAGAGAGGTATAAACTGCTGTCAGAGGATGGCCCAGGTGCCGCCTGGGCGAACCACCGTTTGGGGAGTCAGGTCCTCTTCACCTTCCGCTTTCGGCGCAGCATGTCTCACGCGTGAGCTTGGATTCTGGTAGCTGGGTCCAGAGCTCGTGGTTGACATGAGCGGCCAGTTCCATCCCATTTTCCACGCGCCGCAAAAGAAGAGGATATGCCCAAACAGTCCCGAACGCGTGGAAATGTGGTTTTCCAGAACCTGTGATGCGAGATCTGCTCCCGACTCCGAGATGCCATCCCCACAAACGTGGCGCCAAAGATGCGGCTTGCGCAAAGTGGCTCACTGCTTGGCCGGGGCTTCGAATGTGATGCTCCACTTCAAACCGGCTCCTTGGGTTGTGGTAAAGATGGTAGAGAAAGCATCAATTCTTGCCCCTGATTCAAAACTCACATGCTTTTTGTTGTGACCCTCCGGAAAGGCCGGCATGATTCTCATCAGAGAAGCAAGGTCCTTCTTTTCCGTTGATCCATTGGAACCTCCCGAAGCACATGCTTAGAGGGCTGCTGTATGCTGCTGTCCCGTTTGACCCTTGCCTTTGACCTCTCAGGTGGGCTCGATGCCACTCAGGTTGACTCGGTTAGTGTAAAGAAGCCCCGGCCACAGCGGAGGACCGTGCAAAAAGGTCGAGCCAAGTCATAGGCACAATGGCGAGCAGGAGAGAAATATGGCGAGCGAGCGAGCATTCGCACTTGGTAGGCGAATGGGCGTAAGGAAATTCGGGGTCTCGTCCTCCTGCATTTTGGGATTGACAAAAGCTGCCGCTCGCGTTTGCGGGCAACTTCACCATGGAAGGTGTGACTGACATTGCAGGCTTCTGGGATCACACGTCAAAGATAGTCTGCTCATAGCTGCCTTGAGACGCAAGCTGGCCATGGGTCGAAATTCATCCTGAAAACAGCGCTGTGAGCGCTGAGTTTTTCCACGTCCTTGAAAAATACAAACATTGTGCTGTCGATTTTTCTGCATTAGGGACATGCAGCAAAACTGCCAACTATGTTTGGGATGGACGCTCCCAAAAAACCCTCAGGAAATGCCACATTCCCCCAAACAATCTCGAGATTTTTGGGCTTTCCCTAAAACTCGCAAAAGCATCAGTCAATGCACGATTCCAAAAAACCTCGCAAAATCCCAGAATACCCAAGACTCCCAAAGTCTTTGTCTGAAATCACGTTTATTTGCGGTTGTTTGTTCGGGTTTTCTTTGTGTATGTTTATGTGTGTTATCCTATCTGTATATGTTTTTGTTGCTCCTCTTTAAGAAACGGTGTATTACTAAATAGCTTTAAGTCAACATTAATGTTAATTGTAAACTAAAATGCATGATTAATAAATATCTCTTTGCACACCCTTAGATGAACAAACCGCTTGGCTGGTTGCATATACCCCAATGCATACACAGACTCTTAGTTGCTTTCCATAGGTGCCTGCAGAACAGGTTTTCGCCGAGCATGCTTTTGCTGAAGAGGTAACTTGCAGAGAGCTTGCCATTGAATAACTGCAATCAAGCTGGAGCTGCAGAGGCGCGCTTTGCATACTGCGCTTGTATTGAATAGTTGCGACTTTTAAGTGCGAGCTGCTGCTTTGTCTTATGAAGAACAGACTTCCGGAAGACAATTTATAATACATTATATTATAAATACCGTAAATTTACATATAAACAGGTACAAATATAATAGATATGGAATAAGAAAATATAGTTCAAATTATTCAAAATCTTAGATATAATAATATTTTATTTAAATTAAATCCGAAATGAAAAAAGATGATAAACCATATTATGCATGTTGAATATAAATATTAAAACTATTTAAGTATTTCTATGAAATATATATTTATTAAGTTGATTATTAAGAATTTTGAATATGATTATAATTTTGAATTACTTTTATTTGAACTATTAATGTTGTAAATAAGTATGCTTAATATTTTATAGTTATTCATGGTTTTTTTTCTTAGTTTATTATTTGTTTCTGTATTGAGAACAATATAGATAAATATTGATAGTGAGATAGAAATGACACTTTGGTATATTGTAAAATTGATACAAAAGATATGTAGTTTATTCATTAGCTATAAAATTAATAAATTTAACTAATAATAACAATTTTCCTATTTTCCGGTGCGGCCTCGTCGCATTTCCCGTGCACCGCAGAGTCGCTGCAGCGGTACGCCGGCCGAATCGTCGTGCTTGCGGCGAGCGGCTGCGCCCGTCCCTGTCCTTTTTCCGCGGCACAAGTCCTGCCTCTTAGCGCGGCCCGGAAGTCCACGAAAATTTGCGGGGTTCTTCGGATCTTTGCTGAGAGGTCTCGCGGCATAACCCGGCCAATTTTTCCCGAATTTGCGATCGCTTCCGGCGACCCGGCTCTCAGATCTCCAGACGTTGCCCTCGCAAATTTCTGCAGAATTCGGCGGCTTTCCGAAAAAAAGTCCAATTTCGGGCAAATTTGGGGATCTGTCCGACTCGAAATTTCTCGAACAATTTGTGCTTTCCCTCTTTCCCTCTTTCCCTCTTTCCCTCAATCCCTCTTTCTCTTTGTCTCTCTGTTTCTCTCTTTTTCTTTTTCCCTCTTTCCCTCTTTCTTTTTTCTCTCTTTCTCTCTTTCTCTTTTTTCTCTTGTTTCTCTGTCTTCTCTTTTTTCTCTCTTTCTCTCTTTCTTTCTTTCTCTCTGTCTCTCTGTCTCTCTGTTGCTTTGTCTCTTCGTCTCTGTCTCTTTGTCGCTCTATCTCTCTGTCTCTCTGTCTCTTTGTCTCTCTGTCTCTCTGTCTCTCTGTCTTTCTTTATCTCTGTCTCCCTGTCTCCCTGTCTCTCTGTCTCTCTGTCTCTCGGTCTTTTCTGTCTCTGATTGTCTCTGTGTCTCTGTGTCTCTGTGTCTCTGTGTCTCTGTGTCTCTGTGTCTCTGTGTCTCTGTGTCTCTGTGTGTGTGTGTCTCTGTGTCTCTGTCTTTTTGTTACCTTCTGTGTCTCTGTGTCTCTGTGTCTCTGTGTCTCTGTCTCTTTGTTACCTTCTGTGTCTCTGTGTCTCTGTGTCTCTGTGTCTCTGTGTCTCTGTGTCTC